GCGGAGAATGGGGTTTCAAAATACTGACAATGTCCAGGGCCGTCATTGGTTTACACAACATCATTGGATATTTTCATAAGCCTTACTAGTCATTGTTTTATATATGATCATAACAATAACCTTCCAACAGACTGTAGTAGTACATACTGTTTCGTTTCTTGGTGTTAAAACGGTATAATCCATGTCCCGTCCCAGGAATTCCAACAGGGCTTCCATACGTCCTTGGGTCTCTTTCTGCGGCCCTGTGACTCCTGAGCACGAAGCGGAACATTTTCTTTACATTGTCATTTTTTGATTTTTTGGCCAGAAGTGGTGTCAATAAAGATGCAAAAAACAACGAGATAACGATTATAACGAGCTTGTAACATATTGTAATTTGTCACTTGCGTATTGAAGATTTGACCCATATCTGTCACTCTGTCGCCCATAAGCTACCCAACATATAGTTGGTTTCTTCCTGTTCGATGTGGAAATGTAATCAGCTGTCCTTCTTTCTATGGTCTTTCTTTGATGAGCGATCCTCAACAGCGGTGTGGAAAATTCCATGTGTGCAGTGGCGATGATCAAGGTAATGATGACACTGATGATGGTGGTGCTGATTCTGATTTTGGTGCTGGTGATGCTGCTGACGATGACGATGACGATGACGATGACGATGAGGATGAGGATGGTGATGGTGATGATGATGATGATGATGAATCTGATGATGATGATGGTGATGATGATGATGATGATGATGGTGATGCTGGTGGTGTTGCTGGTGACGACGATGAAGATGATGATGATGATGATGATGATGAAGAAGAAGAAGAACCCACAGGGATTACATCATCCACTTCTTAATTTGGTTCTAACATATACAATACGCACAGGACCAAAGTAGGAAAGGAGTTAGTCATGAGCTGCAACGTAAGGACTGAAATATTTCCCACCTTCAACTTGCAGTCTTTCTCCTCGTTTGCAGGCTGTTGTACCCGGTCCTGGATGGCAGGGATTGTCAGGGGTGCTTGGAAAACTCATCCAAATTTGAAAGATTGAATTGATTGATTGAATACAGCCAGTAACTCAACCCAACATTCAAAAAAATACTGCCAGTCCTTACAACGCGGTGGCATGGAAACTAAAGGACGGCTCGGTTCGTCATCGCTGAAATCCACATCAATGTCCATCCCGCTACGCTGATCCAGTGAAGAAAACACGAACCCAGATACAAGTATATTATGAACCTTTGTTACCCCTAACCCAGATACAACTATATATAGTATAAGTATTATATATATATATATTTATTTATTTATTTATTGATTGATTTATGTATTCATTTATTTATGTATTTACTATTAACCATTGTTATCCCTTTCTGTAATGTGTTTTCAAAAAAGTTCAGGCCTCTGACCAAATCTTGATCTATGCAGTGAAAACACAGAGCCAAAGGGAACCATCCAGCATAGCGTCATGACACAATGAACACCCAGTGGCAAACCCAACGTTCATCATGGTCGTCATCATCGTCATCATGAACATCATCAACACCATCATCAACACCATCATCATCATGATCATCATCATCATCATCAACACCATCATCGTCAAAATCACCATCCATCATTGTCCATCATCACCAATCATCCATCATCCGTCATCATTATTAATCATCATCCATCATCCGTCATCATTATTAATCATCATCCGTCATCCATCATCATGAGTAATTATTCATCAATCATCCTCACACATCATCAATAATCATCATCACCACTAGCATCGTCATAGTCATCATGTTCATCTTCATATTCGTCTTCATCGTCTTCGAAATCATCACCATCATGAAAACAAGACTCGGGCATGCTCTGAGTTTGAAGAACTTTAGATTCCGGGTTTACAACAGTCAAATAAGACATTCAAAATCATACATCAACTTTTGATAACCCCAGGTTCATGCTTCAATGAAAGCAGTTTTCATATGATCCAATGTGAGTGTCGATGTGTGTTGCTGAAATATGTAAAGGCACTGGGCAGTGGTAAACTCTAGATGTGACAAACATCCAGCCCCAATCATCACAATGCTTCTTTCACTCAAATCAACCTCATCTTGGGCTGGCATCATGACGTTTGTCATGTGACGTGTGAGGAGTGAGATAGCTTTTTCAAAGGTTTTTCCCTCAAGGTTCCAGAATCATCCAGACATGCTCCGATTCGGATGTTGGGGCGCCACTACACGTACTGTTTGAGCTTGTCATAGTACCAGTCCAATGCCTCGAGCTGGGAAACAGTCTTATTGGGGGAAGTGTAAGCCCGGAGCAGCGAGATATATTTACCTGGTCATTATTAAAGATATTAACTTGATCATTGTTATAGGAGGTCAAATATAGTGGTCACAAAATAGGTGGGAATTGATTTTATCATTTTTGATTTTTGAGGAATATAAAACAAACTGATCGAATTCGAATCGAATCGTATCTATTGGTGGGCCCTTAAACGTATAAGAGATAACAAATAGATGTTTGATTTGTTTTATTGTGACCCGACTTGGGAATCGTGATTCTGACAACCAATCTTGCCATATACACTCAGGTGACCTGGTCTTCTGCAGTCCTCTTTCTGGTGTAGGATTGCCAAGCCCCCCAGAACTTCTGACCATCTTGAGCAACTCCTCAGCTCAGCGTAAAAGAATTCAAATTTAAGTAGACAGGGTTGGAATTGAAGTGGGATCCCTTGTGACCGAAGAAAACGCTGTCCAACCAAAATATATACTTGTACAGTGGCCATGTGTCTGTCACAGGCCTCTCTAACTTGATCACGTGGGCTACGACCAGCAAAGCGAGGATCTTTCATCACCCAAAACAGCTGAGGCAACAAGATAGAGCATATGTTTCTATGGCCCTCTGAGTTGACATGAGGCTTCAAAATAGGTGGACTGACATCATCCACCCTTTCTTCAGCCTCTGGCACGTGCTCCTCTGGAACGGCATCCTCATTGTTCGGAGGGTGTGGCTCATCCAAAGGGGCAGGCGGACTTTCAAGTTCAGGTTCAGGATCCGGTGGTAAATTGTTTCTATTCTCATTCTCATCATCCCCAAAAAGCGATTCACAGTCACTGGCGATCCAACCCCCTTCCAAGATTGTATCTTTCAGAAGCTGGTCAGATGCTGGAGTAGCTTCATTCTCGCAGGTCCTTATCACAAGCTGACTGGGAAAGTGGGAACGGGACCACTATAGACAGTGACCAATAACTGGGAAACAGGTCAAAAAACGTTGAAGCAGTCGATGTGATTCATGGGATGGTCAAGCTTGAATCACGCCTGATTTTGCTAAATCTCCACCAACAAAAAAGCATTAACATTTGACTAATCTTAACTTAACCAATCAAAAGAACCTTGTACAGAAAAAGGAGTGTGCACACACACACAACCCCGTGGATGTCTGAACTAGTCCGAACCGAACCAAGTGTCTTTTGTGTTTCAACATGAGCCTGTTCAACTTCAGAACTTTGAGAACCGGCGCTAGCAGAATTGTTGCCCTCGTCGTCAGTTTCAAGATTAACAACCACCACTGGTTTGGGGTCATTTGCTGGTGTTTTGGGTTTTCTCGCAGCTTTACGTCTTTGTGTTGGTTGCTGTTTCTTTTTTCTCTTCCTCAAAGTCCCAAAGAACTCTGACTCCTCATCTGCCCTTGGATCGTCCGGAATGGCTCCTGGAGGGGGGAAACTTGAAGTTGAGACCAGGACTCTCTGGGACCTTGGGGGCTGGATTTTGGATCGGATAAGATTCTGGAAACTTGAAACGGGACCGAGCTGGATGAACATTAACGGGTTTGAAAAAACAGGAAACATTAATAACTTCTGAATTCAGATTCTTTTACTTCGAACTTCAAACATCAAATTTCAAAACCGATATTTCACCGACATACCTGTTGGCAGTTGGTTCCCCATGGGTTTTCCAAAACAGTCCTCTGAAGAAAGAACACAAGGCATCGAACCCTTTGCTGTTCATACCCTTTGGCACATCCTGAATTGATTCTGGGCAGCATTCCATAGCAGCTAGAATGGCCTTGTAGTAGCCTCCGTTTTGGCAAGAATGACTGAAGTACCCGTTGCACTCATATTCCTCTGCCTGTGTATGTCCTTGAACTGCAAATGGCTTTCGAAAACAAATATTTATTATCTTCAGTGGCCTTCCCCAAACAAACTGATTAAGCAGGAAAACCAATCACAAAAAAATCACTCTATTTTCAAAATGACTTGCAGAAGAATCACCACAACAACACCAACAACAACAGCAACAACAACAACAACAAGCACAACAACAACCACAACAACAACAACCACAACAACAACCACAACAACAACAACAACAACAACAACAACAACCAACGACAACAACAACAACCACAACAACAACAACAACACCAACAGCAACAGTAACAGCAACAGCAACAGCAACAAACACATCATTACAACACACACAACATTACAACAAACACAACATTACAACTTACAACAACAAACACATCATTACAACTAACTTGCAACTTACAACACACTATGAAAACCAGGGCTCGTTTGAGAAGGATTGTGTAGTACGCATGGTGCTCACTTTTGAAATTGAAACATCTCTGCGCCACTGACGCATGTTTGCCAGATTCACCCTTCGACCAACCAGCAGTTACCAGAGATCTCCGTAAAGACCACAAGCTTCGACACAAAGGGTCTACTGGGTCCTGTACTTTTTTGGGGGATGACAAACGGGTGCTGAAAATCAACGCAGCGGAATTGATGACCAACCGCCCTTTCCCATTGACAGAAGCCAGCTCATACTTCTCCATCCACTCAGCAGCTATCATCTGAGCAGGGGTCAAGACAAGGGGTCGTCCTTTTTTGGCACCTGCTTCTCCAAGTTCGCAAATTTGTTCCCTTAGTTGCATGGAACACCCCAAAGCAACAGTGAACACAGCTTTGAGGCTTTGAAAACTTCGAAATGACAACAGGACTTTGGGCAATGTCATGCAATGTTTGGTGCCTTGGGAACTATGTGAAACACAAAAAAAATAAACATGAACGCTTTCCAAACCTTGTCAAAAATCACAAGGCTGCTGTCAATGGCGTCACCAGAAATTGGGTCCCCCAACATGTCCATCACAGACTCTTTGTCAAACTCGGTGATGTGATCTGTGGATGTAAACTGGTACAAACTGTCAATGCTGTCATTCTCAAACAACTCTTGTAAGTTGACAGGCTGTACGACAGTTGTCGCTGATTTGAAAGAGAACGCATCTGGCAGAGTAGGACATGGACCGGAACCATCGTGTTGTGAAGAATCATCACTCACACTGAAGCTCCCCAAAACTGCACAGGATAGTGTCCCCTTCCAATCATCCACTGACCACTGTGTCAACCGCTCCATATACTTTTTGTTCCCAGGATTGAAACCAAGAAGTTGAAAGCACATCCAAGTAGTCTGATTGGGATCTGGTTGGGCCACAGTTGGAATGGCATAAATACCACCCTTTGTTGTAAGGCTCATGAGGTGGGCCAGCTGTTCTCTCCATTGTTTTGTGGTCGGTGCAGATTCCGGGGCGGATGATTGAATCAATTCAGCATCCCTGGTTCTGTCAGCAAACATGACATCGAGGTTGTGACCAGTAGTGTATGACTGAAGTTCCCGAAACGTATGCCATGTTTCTTCCACAAGGTCTCCAAATGACTGCAGGTAGCGTCCCACATTGTTTCTGAATGATACTTGTGTCAAATCATCATGTAGGGCCCTTCGCAAATTGGCGCTCATATGGGCAACGCTGAGGGAGCGGGACACAGCAACCCGGACCTCAAAACTGAAAACGGATGTGGTTTAACGGTTTTGACTTTTGATTGATTTGATGTTTGGCTCTTGGGAACAACTGCTTGGGAACAAAAAATCAAACAAACAAAACAAAACATGTTGTCTAGTAATGAGTGCACTGACAACTGACCAGAAAAGTTCTACCCAGCCCAGCTGAGTTACATGGACAAGATGGTGTTTTGCCTCCAGACGTTTCATCACAAGAAGAGATGATGCCCAGGCAACCAGTTGTCGAAATAACTGTTGTTGCATGAAATGGTCATGCCCCTTTGCCCATCTTGAAAGTGCTGTTCTATGTTTTGCGAAAAATTCGCGTCCAACATCCCCAAGATTGCCAATCTGATTGAGGTCGTGCAACCTCAGCAATTTCCCTGTTAACACCCTGCTTCTCTTGGTAGTTTCCGCCATGCTGGTGCTTGGCAACAGGTATTCCAGAAGTGCCACAAAACTCCATGGGGGCTTGTGTAGAAAACTGGTGTACTGTGTAAACCTAGATTCCAATACGTTCTTGGCAGTGGCAAATCCATTCAGTATGTTGGAAACATCCACGTGCCGACCAAGCTGACGAAGTTTCTCCAAAGCCTTCAAACCAGCAGAATCCATGTCAATGGACAGTCCCCGCAATTGATCAACGAATGGTTTGGAACCATGGACTGCGAATTCAATCAAACGCCTGCCGGACCATTTGCACTGGGTACTGCCGGTCTCTTGTTTGAGCCGCTTTCTGTCCTCCAACATTCAATCCGGACAATGGGCGGGAAAAAAATAATTGAACGTTGGAAAGCTAAACTTTGAAAATATCATTCCTTTGGGATTGAGATTCGAGGTCCCTAGGTGTCAAGTCAATGCAATGTGATGTGAACTTGTACTTGTATTACTCAATCTAAAACTGAGCTCAAGTTAAAACCAAAGCTAATGGTCCTCCTCTGTTGGATGACAATGACAGCCATGAAGCCAACTGGAAACTTGGTGACCCCACTGACAAAGAAGGCGTTGTGAGTATGCAAGGGCCCAAAAAGTAGCAGCGCCATGGTCTGTTGTCAGAACTTCCAAGCAACGAATCTCAGCATCAGAAAAGGTATAATCATCCCCAAATCCATCTCCCTGGTCATCTCTACCACGCAAAGAAGAAGGCTCCAGCAACCATATAAGGAACTGAGAACGGTGTACCATCCAAGTAAGAACTTCATAACGATATTCCCAGCGATGCTTGATGAAGGTTGGGCAAGGTGTCTCAAACATTTTGCCAATACTTCTTTTCCTCAGGTCCCCTTCTATCTTATCATTATCGAAAATGAAGTGCTTGCGAAACCTCTCCAGGTTGTCAGATTTGCTGAAGTATTTTGCAAGGGTGTTGAGCTGTTTGTCAAACAGGTCGAAAAGTTCCGGAATCCAACATTCCTTCAATTCCTCCATGGTATGGTGCAGAGAGTGGTCAATGTCGTGAAGTGGGAGAGTGTTTGGAAATGCCCTCCGTCCAGGGGTGTCATGGTTGTCCTCCCCATCCATGTCCGGAAGGACAGCTAGCTTTGACTCAACCCCCATGTCATTCAAAAACGAAACCGCACGTGACCTTGCCAAAGCAGTGTCACCAATCTCCAAATGCAGGCTCCGCATGACTGCCCTGAACTTGTATGCAGTTGAGGTAGCTTTACGTCCAAGAACCTGAATTGGTAGAACACGGGTTTTGAATGTCAACTGCTGTAGGACCGTCTCTGGGTTCAGTGGATACACGTCGTCCAAATCCACAAAATCACATTCGATGATCAGGTAGTCCCGGCTAAATTGCGGACTGGAATCTGCCCGGAGGTGCAAAGCCCACGTGGCGTCATGTCTGTAGATAAACTCACGCGACCACCTGACAAGAAGAATGACCAATACTAGGACCAACACAAACCAAACAAAACCAAACTCAGCTTGTATCACTTGGCAAGGAAGTCAGGGGAAGTCTTGATTCTAATCATCATTCATCATACACCAAATTGTCACCAAATATCAGTTATAATTTATTACTATAGCTTAGCTGATCATTGGGTGTTAGTTGCTTGCTGATAGCTACTTGTTATTGAAAACCCGTGGTATCTTGAAGGTCTTAAGGCTTAAGTTAAACATAGAATCTTAGAGTCTCTAGAGTCTTAGAGTCTTAGAGTCTAAAGTCTTACGTGGGCTTAGAAGTTTGTAGTATCAGGGACTGTGACTTCGTTCGTCCGACCAAAGCCATCATAGCTTATGAGTGCGGGTAGTAAAATAATTTCCAGAGTTACACCCTCCCAGGCCCATTCGGTGTTACATGTTTTGTTTTAATATGAGTAATTTAACCCGTAACCCCCATCAATTCATTAGTTCCCAGGTGGACCCACCGTTGCTTCCTACCAACCTCCCTCGGCAAGTTACAGCATTGAGCAGTAATCAGATTTGATCCGAAAAGTATACAGAGTCATCCTTTGTGGCAGGGTCATCACCTTAAGCAGAGAAGAAAGTTGATAGGGCCAGGGATCAGGGCTGACTGGCCCATCTTGAAACTTGAAACTTCAACCTTCGATACTACATTCACATAAGATCCCTAGTTCGAAAAAGACACAACCATAGTATGGAAGAGAGTCTAAGTTGTAGGATTATAAAAGTCAGGTGACAATGAATGAGAGGACATCATGATCCTAGCTACAAAATACAAACTGCATGATTCCACATTCCACATTCCACAATTCTGTCATCCGTTCAATCCTAACGAAACAAAAACTGAGAAAACTGAATCAAGCTAATGCGAAAGTGACTTGACCAGTGAGATGGCTGCTCAAATCATCATCCAGTACCAGTCTCATTCCCCTTAGAACTTAGAACTTAGAACCCCAACGCTCAAGAAGAAAACTAGATTTTGGAGGAAGCACAGCAGAACAAAAGAAATAAAAAACAGAGAGAAACATGAACAACATAAACAAAACACTAATGCTGTTCATTGATCAATGTGTTTTTGCGGCCATGTGCCAGGGTGTAGCATGATGTTCAAGCTGGAGTCAAGGTTGTTATTGAAGCTGAAGTCACCATGTGCCATTAAAAAACTGAGGGGCAACAACTATGAACATTTAACTTTAAATTGAATTAAGCAAAGTATCAAATGCACAGCTTGCGTCATGACGTCAGATTTCTCTTGCAGATGTCGAAGCAAGTCCGCAAACAAGACACTGTCAATGACAAAGTTTGGAGAGTATTGCCAACCCCCTTTTGCTCTTGATTCTCTACCAGATGTGACTGTCAAACACTCTTGCAATCTCAGTGTTGTTTCCTTTGCCCCTTGCCAATTCTGCCTCTCGATTTGAAATAACAATGTATGGAACATAAGGTCAACAGCAGACTTGCCACTGGCCCCATCCGCATACGGAGACACAACTGCGCTGCTGCTTGCGTCACCACCAGCTGTCGATGACAAAGATTGAGACTGAGAAGTCTTGCCTAGACCGACCGGGCAGGGTTAAGTGAGGAGGCGAGGAATGTAGTTATCCTTCATTGTAGTTATCCATCGTTGTATAGGTGGCGAGGAATGTTTCAATTTTCAACTAGTCAACATTTTCAACAGGTCAAAGTATAGCTAGATAAACTAAGACTGCATCTTGAAACTTGAAACCTAAACATACAATCCAATCCAATCACATGATTAAATTTAAGGGAGGAACGGGAACAATAATATTTGTTGGAAAGAGGAACAGTGAATAGTGAAAAGTGAAAAGGGAACAGCAAATCAGTTGACTAGCTTACCACTGTTCCTAGTGGCTTCTCTTGAATGTTGATCTAGCTGAGAAGTCAGTCTCGGTTTCCAAAGCGATCACCCGCGCATTTTCGTCCCAATCCACCCGGTATTCCCGCTGCAGTGACTTCAATGATCGGCGGTCCCTCTCATCAGTGAGAAGAAAAAGATTTTCCTTGCAGTGCGGGGCCAGAAGTATCGGGAAAGCATGTGGATAGCGGGAAACTAAACTTGCAAATTGAAACTTCAAAGGTTGATAGTTGAAATTGACTTGTTAAAGTTGAGAATTGAGAATGTTGAGGATATTAAAAATTACTTTACTTCGAGTGATCCCCACCATGACATTTATACGTTTTGTTACTGGCAAATCTTCTGGCGTTCTATCTGGCATATCTTCTGGCATCGTCCAGCGGTGCCCACTGAGCTCGGAAGGCCCCAGGTTGAGGTCCAGCAGTGCCCACTGAGCTCGGAAGGTCCCAGGTTGAGGTCCAGCGGTGGTCCAGCAGTGCCCACTGCGCGCGGAAGTTGGCGAAGAGTTGGCAAGGCGGAAGTGGACATCGAAGTGGATGCAGAGGTGGTGGAGGAGAAGCTGGAGGACAAGAAGGAGAAGGAGGAGAAGGAGGAGGAGGAAGAGGAGGAGGAGAAGGCGGACGAGGAGGAGGAGAACAACTGTGATAAAATCTAACAACCCTCACCGGCAGGTGGGGAAAAATGGAACTGGAAAACACAAAACAAAATTCAGAAATCAAAACGCCATAACTCATGCTTGAAACTCAAAACCGTGGCACCACGTTTTCCTGAAAAACCTTTGCGTCAACAGGCGTCATCTTACTCATCTGCCTTCTCCCTTGGAAACTGACTTTGCACGGAACATTCGGTGAAATCTGTCCCTGAACCAATACCTCGTGCTCTGTGTCCTTGCCACCACACCTGAAAATTGTCAAGTGCACAAAGGCGTCCCGCCTCAGTTGATGAACGGGATTTGAATTTTATTCAAGAATCGAGATTCGGCATTTTAAATTCAAATCGTTGAATTGCATGCCAATATCTTTGTTCCAATTCCCAAACGTACCTTTTACCTGGAACCTGGAATCTGATCAGATTGCAAAGGTTGCAAGTTGTAAGTTGGAAGGGTCACGGTCAAAGTGCGTTTGTAAGTTGTAAGCTGGTTGTATGTAAGTGTAGGTGAATAATCGTCAAGTAGAATATAGACTCAGACAGTCAGAATTCAGAATACTCAAAGCATTCTGACTCTGTAGTCTGTTCGTCCCAATTATCAACTGCCACGGTTTTAGAATTGGTAAAATGATAGAGGTGTAGTATAGTAGTATAGTATAGAGTATAGACTATAAGGTCTAAGTCTAAGTGAAGTGGAATTAACAAGTTTGATGTAAGAGAACCTAACACTACTAAGCCAAGGTACCCTCCTTGTTTTGATTCAGAAAATTTTGATCTGCTAAAGCACCAGATCACAGACCCGCGACACCGATCGTTCCGCCAAGATTGCCATGCCATGGCTTGAGACACCCCTCACATTGGCACCGCCATGTGAGATGCCCCTCACACATCACACTCTGAGATGCGAAGCACTACGCGTATCATCCAAAAACCCAAAAACCTCTTTACGGGAAGATCGGCTTATCAGTTTACCCACGTCACCAACCAATGGTTTCCAGTGTGAAGCCAGCAACTAAGCAGTTGGGGTTCAAGAAGGTATCCTTGAATCAAGATTCTATTGACATTGGTGTGAGATTGTGAGAATCAAGAAAACATATCAATTCAGAATTATCATATCAATTGTATCTATGTATGAACTGTATGAACTTAACAATCTTAACATCATGGCTGCAACTGGAGCCACTGTTGGTCATGCCGAAACCAGGTCGGGCAGGATCCAAGCTCATTCAAAGGTTAACACTGGGAACCACCAAATTTCGAATGATAATTTTCCGAAACCATGGATTTCAATGTCACATGTTCCGGACCCCTGGGGACCTTCCCCCGAAAGGGGTCGTTGTCATTAGTAATATATATATATATATGTATATACCACCTATAAAAATGCTGATGACTGGGGAATGGTGCAGATGGCATTGTTTTACCCACATTATAGCTGGTTGGTGGTTTCAACCCCCCTAAAAAAATATGAGTTCGTCAGTTGGGATGGTTATTCCCAACTGAATGGAAAGTCATAAAAGCCATGTTCCAAACCACCAACCAAATTAGTATAATAATTAGATATCATTAGTGATATCGTTATATAACCATTACAAATACCATTTATGGCATTGTTTTACCCACATTCTAGGATATTGTTCCAAACCACCAACCAGATATAATATATATATATTATACCATATATATATATATATATACCATTATTATTAACCATCATTAACCATCATTAACCCTCATTAACCATCATTAACCATCATTAACCATCATGGATATCAATTCAGCTCAATTCAGTTCCAGGACCGATGCCAAGGAGCCCTCACCGCCGTCGCGCACGTAGACGGATTCCCGTGGCTCCGCCATGTAGCTGGGCTTGGGCCAGGCGTTTTTGTAGGCCTCCGTTTGGTACTTCAGCCAGGTCTCCTAGGGAGACGATGAAATTCTTAGCTTCAGTGATTTTGAGTGATTTTGGGAACATTGCAACGAAAAATGTACAATGTATTACCATATATTACAATTTGATGTACCAGTAACCCAACATGGCTTGCTGGAAATTGTCCCATCGACAAGTGATTGTACCATCTAGAAACCTCCACTTCTGGAGAATTGTCCCTTGCCACTTTTGACGACACCGGAGGGTAATGTCTGAAAAAAGGTCATGTTTGCCATCCCCACAGCCCTCTCCCAGCTTTTCGCAACGGAATGGATTAAGTCTGAATCCCACACCATTTAGATCCACATTTCTGTGGCGAAATCATGCGAAAGTCCGTCGATTTCGGCCTGGAAAGGGTTGCATCTCCAGCTACTTTCAAGTGAAATGATGATCGTAACCAACTCCATGTGCCTTCAGGCTAGTCTCAGTGTTACACGTCTGAGACTCCTTGAATGCTTGCTGATGCAAAAGTATCCACCACTTCAGTCTATTTCACATGCTACTCGCCCGAATCACTGCTGGATCACTGCTGGATATCAATTCTGCATCCCCATCAATTGTGATCATCGCTGTCATTGTCACTGTCATCACTGTCCTTGCTCATCTTGGCCGCCAGCTTTGCTGCCTCGCGTCCTGACAAGCAACTGGCTGATAACTGGGTGGCGAAATGGCTGATCGGGACGGGGGTACTTCCGGCAAAATTGGCCTTTCGTATCACAAAAAAAATCCAAGTCTGGGTATAGATATGTTGGATCCAATTTTTGAACTATATTTTAAACCCATCTACAGCATGGAACCATCAAATTTTGAGGATCTATGCCGTGGACCGCTCCCCAAAATACGGCCCAGGCTTGGTAAAAAAAAACACGTGTTTGATGCAATGTGCCATGAAGATATCATGAGTTTATCCTATTTCCCAAGATTGTTTCATGTTTCCTCGAACCAACTGAAAACATCTTAAAACTAAGTTCCGTGAAAAATGAGATTGCTGGGTCTACAGTCTTCCTGTACCCAGGGTACCCAGTACATTGTGGAAATGGCTGTTGCTTATGCTATCCGGGTCTTCACAGCTCACAAAACTAGGCCGACTTCCAACAGCTTCCATTTCTATTTCACATGATCACCTCAAAAAAATGTGGTTTCATCATATTTATGGCTGTTCCATCTATTTCACATGATCCCCAAAAAATGGTGATATATATAGCATTTATCAATCTTTTATCATGGCTTTTCCTCCAGTTGTTGCCACATTTTTTGGGTCCATCTACAACCCACCCGTCATGCGCAGGGTCCCGTGGGTCCCACCTCGGTCTTGCCGAACCCGTTTGGGCTTTCCGGTCAATGGACTGATCTCCGAATTGCGGCCTGGGAAACCAACAAGGGGAACAGCCTGGGTGATGTTCCACATCTATGTTAGGTTAGGCTAGGATACAATATTAGTACATTAATTGGTATAGTGTATGTGTATATATATATATATTATATATATAATATATTATGTATAAATATATTATATATATATATAAAGTGGTGACTAGTACATATCTGTGTAAAGTACAGCAATTCTTCATCCTGAAATGGTCATGTTGAGCTATTTCCCAGATAAAGGTCGTTTCGAGGTGGTTCCTTACGATCATTTGCTTCGCCAGGATGCTGGCTTGCCCATGGTTTATGGACACTTCATGGAGTGCCTGGCTTTGTCCTTCTCGGGTGCCCACACTGATTTTCTGTGCCAGTCAAATCTTGACATATCCAGTGATTCGGGTACACCCAAATAAATACTGGTTGGTGGTTTCAACCCTACCCCTCTGAAAAATATGAGTTCGTCAATGGGAAGGATTATCCCATATATTATGGAAAATCCTACTACCCTCTGGTTATGTCAAGATAGCTATTGAAAATGGCCATAGAAATAGTGAGTTTTCCCATTAAAAATGGTGATTTTCCATAGTTTTCCCATTAAAAATGGTGATTTTCCATAATTTTTCTATAGGTTTACCAGAGGGTATAAACTAGTGACGGCCAAAATCCCATCAATTCATTGCGGTTCATTACGGGGATGTCTATGAATATTCCATGTGCAATAGCCATAAAGAGTGGTTACCCAATAAAAAAAACACCATTCAATCAATTCAATCACCATTTTTCCATCCATTTCCCTAGCCCAAAGTGGTTTTCCAACCTTTCCAAGGCGCCCTTCACTATGACCTTCTTGGACTTCATCGCGGCGACGCTTTTCTTCATGGCCACCATGTTGAGACAAGGACGCGCCCAGACGCGCCGGCGATCTCAGCGTGGACCGGGCAGCACTTGGAGCCTGGAAAGTTCTGGATGTTTAGGGTGTTTATATATATATATATATATATGTATATATAGACTAATAGTGTAGTAAGTATGCTATTATAAGATATTATAAGTATGCTATTGAGACGGTTTGCTGTGATTTTCAGGGGAAAATTGCAACCAGATTTCCATGGGTTTTTTCCAGATTTATGATCAGTGCTCCCATGAAAATGGCCAGTTTCTATACCCCAGTTTCAAACAGCCAGTGTCAGGCCGGGATTCACCCTTGGAGCATGAAATTTGGTGCTCCAGAGATGTTTAAAACTCTTGAAATGCGAAAAAGGATGAAAAAGGTCACAAACCATGGATCTTCTTCACACCTTCACGAATCCAACGCTAGAAAGATCTAGAAAGCACAACAAAAACAGTAAGACGACCAGGACATCTTCCCTATCAACATCCAGTGGCCAGGCAAAGGCATCGACCGACTCCAAGGATGGGATGGGATTTGACCAACAGTTCGCCATGGTTTTTCCATGGGCCATTTATCGAAATAGATGGTTTTCCCAGCTAGAAACCTCCATTTATGGTTGGGATTTTCCATGGCAAACTGTTAAATAACCATGGCCATTAATAGCATGGTGGATCTTTCCATGGCGAACTGTTAGTCATAACTGGCTATGTTACATTGTTAGTCATAACCAGAGGGTAGATGAAATGATCAAATATCAGAGTTCATGCGCAAAACTCTCACCTTTTTTTGGTCGGAGATTCACGCCATATCGAGACAATGATATTTCGTTGGAAAAATACATGAAAATGCCTTATGATCGCACCCCAATCGCACCCCAACTGTTTCAACCCCCCACCACCTCAATCATGACCCCCCCCCAGGCGCCAAGTTCCCTTGTCGTTTTGCGCCAACCGCGTTCGCGGTGAAAACGTCTCGGCTGAATATGTTTTCTCGATGGTGAGACTCGTTGGCTGAGCCACGGCGGAACTGTGCTTGAAACTTTTGGGGCGACAGACAGGCCCCGGCGGCACCAATGTGGTGGTGAATGTTACCCACAAAATGGCGTCAACAATGTGACGTAGCCCCAATTTATCCCCCTTCGTTTATACTGAAGTTCACTTAAAATTATTTTTTTTTGTGGGCCATCAATTGGAACACCCATTCAATGGACATGCTGCGCCAGAAAATCACAGTACCTCCTTCTCAGCAAGGGCGAGGCTGCGCGATGATCGTTGGAAACTCGCTTCGCTGGCGCTGTGGCTAGCAACCCCCCAGAAAGATGCCGAGAAGAGTATTTTCCAGGATTTCCAGGATGTTAGTTCGATGATATTTAAAAATTTTACATAATATATATATATATACACTGCATATTTCCAGATGTCACACCTTTCTATATATGATGTTCAAACAACTTTGGCCTTGCAGCGATTTCTCTGCCGGTTAAATGCCGAAACCAATGGGCCATAAATGGACCAAGATAGGATGGTGAATAAATGGGGAATGTCCCAATTTCCCAAGCGAAAAATGCATAAAACTGCTAGGTATAAGCCAGTTATTGACCAAAATGACCAAACGAATCATGTCATAATGTTCATCATCGGCTCGAGACATTGACAATTGACCAACACATGTCGCCCAACGTCATCGAACCTCGCGCAGCCTCGCAAGGCACAAACCGCATCCTGGAGCTACTCCAAGAGTCACAAAGCGCGGCCGAAAATTCAGCCGATCTGGGTATGTCTGCAGGGGGGGAAACCCAGAAAATATCACTTAATGTCATAGAATTTCATGAGGAACATATGATGATATATAAGAATGTGATGATAACATTTGATAAATACACTATTTATATATATATATATGTGAATATATATATATATATAAACATGAGAATCCGTGGGATTTAGGGACAGACTTACCCCTCCGGTGAGACGAGTTGGACGGACCCAAACCAGAAAAACCACTAGCCTCACGACATCTCACAACGTCCACCTGCAGACGGTGCCAGAGCCAGGACCTCGACTGGGACAACCCAGGATTTGATCACCGAAAAACCATGTCCCAACTTTTCGGGATACCATCTGGTTATGACTAACAGTTCGCCATGGTTTTTCCATGGCCCAATTTATCGAAATAGATGGCAAACACCGTTCTGAAAATAGCATGGTGGATCTTTCCATGGCAAACTGTGAATGTCATAACCAGATGGTAAATCTGTAGAAATCTCTATGGAAAGCCCATCTGGTGGAAAATCCCCAGCCATGTTTCTGGGTTCATTGCTGTAGATGGGCCAGTTCACCCTCATAGAACCACCATGTCAGGCTTCATGTGGGTATGGATCAATACCTATTAATACCATTTTTACCATTTTTAGGGGGATGAACATCCATTTACCAGCTATTTTGATGTTCACCAGGGGTACAAGGTTTTGACACACTGCCATATGTCAATATAGTCATTCCTCACAATCACAATTGCTGGTCCTATTCCCAGAAAAAAAAAAATAAACGAAGGTCGTTCAGACAAAAAAACTCTGCAAAGGTCTCACCGTCACATCGCGAAACCTTAGATATCCTGCAAAAAAAATGTATAGTTTCTTAGGTTAAGTTGTAGTGTTTAGTTGTACTATTTTCACTAGCCATCCACTGTGTTCTCCCATTTTTTCTCCCGTGGTATATCATCTCCCAGGAATTGTTTTTTTGGCCTTCTTCCAAATCCCATATCCGTCATTGATTTGGTCAAATCCCCGAAAGAAATTCTCGGCAAAATCCCCCAAGTCGTGTGACTGAAATCCCAATGCTGTGCCGAAATCCTCAGGAAACCTCACCTACCCTCTGGTAATTGAACATGGCCATAGAAAATCATAGAAATAGTTGATTTATGTTGATTTACCCATGAAAAATGATGATTTTCCATAGTTATGTAAGAATCTAACAGTTTACCAGAGGGTACCCCGCCCTCCTCGCCGCGACATCCCGCCTATTTCAAGTCTTCCTCGGCAGCGGACATGCCGGAGACGCCGAAGCCACCCGTCTGCCGGGCCTGGCTCTTAGCCAGGGGAAATCATGATCTCTTCATTGGTCAAAAAACATCAAACTCATGGTTTATGGTGATTAATCTATGGTTTATGGTTGGTTTATGGTGATTAACTATGGAAAATATATCAATATAACATACCCTCTGGTAAACTGTCACATAACTATGGAAAATGACCATGCTATCAATGGGTAAATCCACTATAAAGGGCCATGTTCAATAGCTATGTTAGTTTTCAATAGTGGAGTATATCTAATTTTGATGTGTTTTATTAGTTTTGGAACATTAGCATACATCAACAATCAATGATCCCTTCAATTTGAATGGTTTTCACAGGTGTTTGGGAATTGTCCGGAATTGTCAAGCAAATCCATGTGTTCTCAGAGTTGTGCAAGGCAATCAATTGGAATATACCCTCTGGTAATTTAACATAGCTATGGAAAATCATCATTTTCAATGGGAAAATCCACTATTAATGGCCATTTTCAATAGCTACGTTAAATTACCAGAGGGTACAGATGGTGGAATGAATCTTCTGGGCCAATTTCCCATGGGGAACTCTGCAAAATCCCATCGCTGATCCCATCGCTGAATCCAGACGTTTGATTGGTAACTTCCACCGATGGATGGATAGATGGATGGATGGATAGATAGAGAGATAGATTAGATTTAGATTTGATTGGATTTGATTGGATTAGATTAGATTAGATTAAATAAATATATATATATATAATATATTATATTATATGTCATATAATATATATATATATAATGTATATATATATATAATCCCCTTCAAAAGCAAACAAATTGGGATCAGCGCCCAAAAAATTAGCCAATTTCTTCCAAGCCATTTCCAAATTTTCAACATATGGCTCCCCAAAATTCTCCATTTGCTCCACCAACATCAACCAACCCCCCAGTAACAGCCCCACCTGCAAAAAAGGAGAGCTGGCACGGAAGAAACCTGCCGCTCTCTGTGCCAAATTGGGCTCCAGCTGATGTAATTTTTGTCCCGCTGATGTGTAAGTGGTGAATATTCGCAGTAAAAATCGCTTTGTATAACTGGTATACCCTCTACAACACAACATAACATGACATGACATAACATAACATGACATCACATAACATAACATAACATAACACATCACATAACATAACATAACATAACACATCACATAACATAACATAACATATCATAACACATCACATAACATAACATAACATAACACATCACATAACATGAACTACAAATAACATGACATCACATAGCATCACATAATACAATACAATATAATATAACATAATACAGTGAAATACAATACAATATACTATGATATAATAGATATTATATATATATATTTATTTATGTAATTATATAATATCATACATGTATATATATATAATCGTATATGTATCTATATCAGGATGGTATATATATATATATACATCATTCTAATATATATATATATACATGTTATATACAGTACATGTGGTGTTTAGTACGGTTGTTTACCACTTCTCCAGGATGATCTGAAACCGGGGCCCAACCGAACTGAAATCAATCCATGCTGGGTGAAATCACCTCGACGGGAAGATCTGACGTGGGAAGATCTACTGTACTTGTGAAACGACTGTGCTGGTGATTAATAGTCATTAATATATGGTTATTATATGGTTAATATATGGTTAATAATGGTTATTATATGGTTAATATATGTTAATATATGGTTATTATATGGTTAATGATGGTTCATAATAACCTGGTTGGTGGTGCAATAACATGAGTTCGTCAATGGGAAGGATGACGACGAAGTATATATTGTGGAAAATACAAAATGTTTGAAACCACCATCCAGTTTAAAACCTATCTAAGAACCTTTCTGACAAATCGGGCATAACCTCAAAATTACCTTTTTGGCAAGTTGCTTCCTAACCTGAAAGTTTGCTGTACACGTACTATCACGTACTTATATATCATATAACCTATCGCACATACTTATACAATCTTATACATAATATCTATGGGCCGAAAACGATAGGCAAGAATTTCCAGTTCCAGGATCTTATGGCTGATTATTACTTAATAGCTTCCATGCAGGATATCCAACATATACTGTTACATATACAGTAATTTAAATAATATACACATAGCCACAAAAAGACAGAAAAAACATATAAATCAATCACTATTTTATCATCATATTATCATCATATTATCATTCTATTATATCTTAGAATCGGATTCCCGCATTTCTGCATCTATTGGATTTCAGAATCTACAGCTACCAGCCTCCTGGGCGGCTGTAGTCAATGCGATACCTGTCCAACGTCCGCCGCGATCGTTGGATGTGGAGCTGACCAAACCATTCTTTCGGAGTGTTTCGGTGGGTTTTTTCTTTTTCAGAAATGATGTTAAACCAAGTAAGACATTAAGACATATTAAGACATATTAAGATTGTGTATCTAGAGCCACAAATATCACACAAATAATTATCACTTGCCCTGGGTTGATGTATGATCAACAAGTCACACGAAACCATCCTACTACGCCCGAGTTCTGCCCCATCCAGGTTTTTCCCGACAACCAGATCATGGGGAGGAACGGGTCAATTGGGTTGATCAACTAGCAGAAATGACCAAAGTCTCCCAGTTTTTTAATTCACAGAGCTCGCTGAATTTGTTTGCTACCATGTCAACAAACATGACTATTGAACTATTGGAAGAAAAACTTCTTAGGTCAAGCATGTATGAACGAAAATAGCAAGGTGACTCAGGTTTCACATGACTGGTGGATGTGATTACGGATGGGAAGATCTCTGGGAAGATCTCAGATCTGAGGCCCAAACGATGTAGGCACGTTGCTGTAGCTGCCGCTGGGGAACCAGTTATTCAAAGAACCTCAGAGAGATCAACGGCATGTCACCGCCACCGGGACTTTTTGACATATCTGCAAGGGATCGCCCTGCCATTTCCATGGAACAGGGCTTATTCTGCGGGCATTCTCAGGCCAAAACCATGTTTTTTTTGGAGAGTGGAATCCAGTCGAATTAAGGATTTACCCCTGCTTTGGAATGATATCCTCACCACATGTTCTCAACTTCTCTACTACACCAAAATCTTGTTGCTTTTGGGAATTTTTACAGGAACCCCTCCCCCAATTGGCCCAATGTTGGGGAAAACCCATGGGGAAAACTCACCAAAGCCACCGAAACCCACCGATTGTGTTTCACAACGAGGCCTTTTTTAGGCTGGGCCCCCACCTTGGCTACGGAAGCCAGTGCCTTCGCCTGAGATTCCAAATTTCCCGGTCTTTCATGGCCAAAAAAACAAAACCATTCTGGAGATCATTGGGGATACCTAAAATTTCCAAACACACTAATTAATATGAGTGTTGCTCAAAAATGAGTAGTCCATGGTAGTCCTCCCAAAATTGGAGGGTTGATACTCGGAAGCAAAAAGCGTCGGTCCAACATGACTCAGACATCGGTGAGATGAGATCCATTGAGGCCATGCTATCCTTCACACTTTGCCACGGTCAAAATGGCCCCCTTAGTTCGATAGTTTGCCTTTTAAAAAATGATGATGTTCCATACATATATGTTATATGTTAAAATGAACGTAATTAACAGAGTGGGGTGTACAATACAATCATCAATTCAGGCACTTCGCAGCTCGTACCCGGCAGTCAAAGATGGCAATGGGAAATCCATGGAAATCCCTTGTAATTGAACGAGGTGTTTACTGGAAAAATCATCTACAAATCGAGTTTCTACTACGGGGTTGGATTCCCAGCGAGTCATCACAAACGGAGCAAGCACCATGGTGCCTTGAAAAGATGTTGGTCACAAACCGTAGAATACGAGACCTTTTCCAAAATTCAAAAAAACACTACTGCACTTGGTTCAGAAAATGATACGTTCATCAAAAATCATCAAAAAAAATGGGAAAAAAATCCACCCTCTTAAAGCCTTTGATTAGCATCAGCCGCATCAGCCACATCAACCCATCCTTCCCATGGCAGCATCCAGCAGCGCCGCCTGAAAAGGGGAAGGAGATCATGTTCGCCTTCTTCAATTTGCTGAGGCCGGACATGTTCAAGCGGTCCCTGCGTTGCAGAAAAAGGGCGGAAGGAGACGTACCACCTGCAGGTTGGGTCGGTTGGTCGGTTGGTGAATGATCAATGTCAACCTCCCTCATCATCATCATCATCATCATCCTCATCATCATCATCATCACCATCATCATCATCATCACCGTCATCGTCATCATCATCATAGTCATCACCATAGTCATTATCAGTCATTATCACCATAGTCATCATCATAGTCATGGTCGTAGTCCCTCTTTTTCTTCTCCGGACTTCACCTTGCCATCCTCCCCAAAAACGCAGATCGGCCTATGCTCTCGCTGCAGGTTCTTCGGCACCTTAGGTTTTTTCGGTTCAACCGGGAAGCGTCGGTCGGTTCGAAGCTTAAAACCAAACAAAAAGGTGGTAACTCACAAAACAAGTCTGATCTTAACCAGCGAAGTTGTGACTTTGACCAACAAAACTGTCATTGAAGTCAACAAACATGTTATTTCAACCGACACAATCTGGTTTTTCCAAGCAACAAAACTGGGATTTCAAGAAACAAGAATGGAAATTTAAGAAATCAAAATGAGACGTTCACCAACAAACACGTGGATGTCAACCAACAACAAAGGAAATTCACCAACAATCAAGAATCTGTAATATCTCCATTAATTACATACAAAACATACTTTTAAAAAAAGATTTGAGTAACAAAAATGGCGGTGTCTTATTTAGGGATACAACATGTAGGCCGGTTGTCCGGTCACGTTACACCTGGGGCTCCCGACAAAGTACGAAAAATGCGAGTCTTCCAGTTTGTTGATCAAGGGGTTGCGCTGGCAGGGAGAGATCAGCGCAAGAGCCCCAGAGCAAGACGCCTACCCTCTGGTAAATTAACATAACTATGGAAAATCACCATTTTCAATGGGAAAATCCACTATATATGGCCATTTTCAATAGCTATGTTAAATTACCAGAGGGTATTTTTGGGGATGATCCAAACTTTCTGTGGGTTTCAAGATGCTGAAATTGATGGTGCATGTTTTCATGGTCTATGTTGCTGTTCAAAGGTTGGTCCAGTGCAATACCAGCAAATGGTTTTGAACAATGATTGATTCTGGTCTCTGCAATCATTGGGGACTGGCTCCAGAAACGAATGAGGCGAATTTGAGTCATCACATTTGCAACAATGGGATTTTGACTTAGTGAATTGAGCGAGTTTGATGAAATTCCTTCTGCTTACATCTAAAGTTTGGCCAGGTGCGAGTTGAAGTTCAACTGTCAAAAAATTGCTTGTATTACCATTTGGAAATATAGATCATATATATATATATATACACACTATATATATATAATGTCAACCCCGGATGAATAAACCCTGTTTTTTTTATTAGGGGGGTACTCCTCCAATAGTTATAATATGTTATAATCCAATACTTAAATGGTACCCCCCAAAAAAAAAACATCGTTGTTTCCAATTATCGTTGAGCGTCGAGCGCGCCTCGGAGAGCTTGGGCGGCGCCTCGCTGCGACGCGAAATGGTGGGCAGCGAGAAGGTCTGGCGCGACGCAAGGCAAGGCGCGCAAGGCGCGACGCGAGGGGCGCGACTTGGTGGGAGTTGTGAACTATTCAATTGTAATTTCAGGATCCTAAAATGGAGGTACTGTACCATATAAGGCGATATTTTGTGGGGATATTCCCTTACATAGGCCTTACATAGGCCTTATATATGGTAGGTACCTCCAATTTAGGTTCCTGAAATGACCATTGAACTATGGTTTATGGGGAATCTAACTATAGCTATTGAGTGATCATGGTTGGATAATAGTTGGTTAACCAACAAAACTGAGGATATCATGGGAATGTAATGATCATTCACAGTATTTCACAGCTATCATCACTTATAAATAAAGAAACTGTGATCAGTGATTGTTGTTTTTTTCTAACGTTTATCAGCAGGGAGAACCAGTGATGATCATTCACTAGTTAACCAGTGATATCCACTAGTTTAAAAACATGTGTGTTAATCATCATTTACAATCCAGTTGTAGGTTACAATTACAATCATGTACAAATAAATACCAAATGGATTAGCATAAATGATCAACATTCATACCAACAATGACTACAAATGTGAAATGATTAACATGTGTAGCTGTTTTAACAGTTGAAGAGTGTAGGTGTTCTAACATGTATAAGAAATTATAAATATATGTGTTTGGTGAAAACATTTGTTCATAGGTGACTGATATAGGTGATTATCATTTATGTAGGTTGCTATGTAGGTTGTTGATAAGTGGATGATAAATGGAGGATCGTTAGTTTGCAGTGAAGTGTATTTTGAAAAGTTGACATTGGCAGTGTCGGATGACAAACGGGTGATAAGAATATATAGTAGATGATAGTACCAGTGTTCTTAATTTTCATACGCTATATCGATAGTGTGATCATCCAGTACTTTCAGCTGGCACCATTTATAGATTATCCATTATATCAAATTAAATGGAGTCATTATCCATTATACCATTTATAGATTATCCATTGTACCATTTATTCATTATCCATTATACCATTTATTCATTATTACCACTTATAGATTTTCGCATGTATAAATCCATGGATGATGGCAATGGATATCCATGACCCTGCCATGAAAATTTCACCACCACCGTGCCGGGTGCTGGAAAATGACCCTGCCATGCGCAAGGGCGCAAGGGGCTCGTGACGTCGTGTGTTTCCCAGCAAGAGTTGGGAGTTCCATTGCCATCTGATAGGTGATGTCAATGGATTGGTTTAAGGGAAAATTTTAACCGGAAAGCCCCATATTTAATGGGAAAATCTATGGTTTCCGGTTAAGACTTTCCCTTCAACCAATCCATTGATGATGATATGTATGGTCCCCCATATGGATTACTTCCATCAAACCACCATGAACAGCTATTTTTACCCGTGGCTTTTAACAGTTATTGACCCATTGTAATCCCATTACTCCACATAGTTCTATGAGATTCTCTGAATGGAAATTGATTAATTTTACCGTAAAAATCATCGATACAAGATTACATACCATGAATAGCGGATGGTAGTACCACTACTAACAGGACTACTGTATTCAACCATGAAATAATCCCATCAAATCATTATGTTCAATGGTGAACATGTTAATCCCATTGTTGGCCATTTTTTTCACCATGATTGACCCGCTTTTTTCAGAATTATGAAGAGTCGTCAGCCCACTCTAATCCCATTAAGGATTACTGTATAACATATGTTAATTCCGTTATTGACATTAAGCCATTCTACCCTCTGGTAATTTAACATAACTATGGAAAATCACATTTTTTAATGGGAAAATCCACTATAAATGGCCATTAAGCCATTCTAATCCCGTCAAATCACCATGTTTTTCATGGTTCAACATCCATCCATGGTTCAACCATCTCCAATCCCATAACCCCATGATATTCCCATCATTCACCGAAGGGAAGGTCCACATGTTTGTACACTAATATGAAAGAATGGCTATGGTAAACTCCAGCTCTTTCAAGTATTAAAATAAACCAACAATTATAATGGGGTATTTTTCCAATAGTCATTTCATATGATACTTTTTTAATGGTACCCTCCCAATTAAACAATCGTTTGGGGTTTATGAATCCAGGGTTGACATTATAATAATCCATCTGGTAATTTAGCTATGGAAAAATCACCATTTTTCATGGGAAAATCCACTATACATGGCATTTTTCAATAGCTTTTTGTATGTTTACCAGGCCGGATAATCCCACGTCATATCCCATGAAGCAATGGCCTTCGCCATCGAAGTGGCCTTGGGCGACAACGTAGCCTTGGCCACCGGCGAGTCGTAGGTCCTGGACGTGGACGAAGGGTTTCTTAACCGTTTAAGCCATGGGAAATTTATATGGAAAAATGTGGATAAATGGAGAAAAAATATGGAAAAAATATGGAAAAATTGGAAAAGGTTCACAAAAAAAAAACGCTGGTTTTTTGATCCATAACTTTAAGGATATCTTGTTGATTTTTTAAGGAGGATGACTTTTGAGGATTACTGAAGGGTTGACTCGAGTGTTCGGTTTTGGATCGCCGAAAAAGCGCTTCATTGGTGGTTGATGGCCTTGTTTAAAGGGACCAGTTTCTCTGGATTTCTTTAAAATTGTGTTTCTGATGACAAGAAAGAATGTCTTTGAAGTACCAAAAGTATTCCTTTGACCAACAAAACGTTGAGTATGACCAGTCCAAGGTGAATCTTTGACCAAGATTTTTTGCCAGCACTGTGTCATGTTTGTCAATCAAAAAATGATGGTTACTGTGTCTATGAGCAAAAGAATTGGATCCTGACCAGATAAAAGCTAGATTTTGACCAGCATGTGTTTCTTGCAGAAATAGATTGTTCCACCAACAAATATCCAAGATATCCAAGATTATCCAAGGATCTCTTTCTTCCACATTTTGTTCCACCTGTTTTTGGCCGCCTAAAAGACCTCGTCAAAAACAGCTCCTCAACATCTCGTCCACGTCGTGTTTTTCGAAGACCTTTCGGTCGTCAGGCTCCTGGATTCCACATATTCCACCGTCGGGCTGTTGGTGACATCCAAAAACCCAGTGGCTTCATCATGAGTTGGTTAAGATAATGTCTGAGATCACGGTCAGTTAGATCCCTGGTCAGATCCCTATCTACTGTTGATCAATTTCTGCAAGTTGGGGCCACCAATGGCCACCCTTCCTCCGGGCCGCAGCAAAATCGGCCATTTTTAGGGGATCATCATGACTTCTGTGGCGCCTGGATACGTGTGATCGCCATATGCTCGCGGGGATTGGGGATGTCAGTGTCTTCGGTCAAGGCCTCGACCAAAAAAAAACCAAACGCCCCGAAAAAGGGAGTAGGCATCCTTCTCCCCATAGTGGTCATTGCTAATGGTTTACAAGTGGTCAATAATGGTTAATAATGGTTAGTTTGACTGTTAAGAATGGTTAGTTTGACTGTTAACAATGGTTCATAACCATTATTGATAACAGTCATTAACCATTATTGTTCATGGGAAAATCACCAACAATCTGGACTAGCCTCTGGTAATTTTGTTGCCACCTGATGGGTGTTGGTACCAATCGTACCAATCGCCTGCGGTATCATCATAGCCATAGCAATGGAAAACCAATGGGAAAATTATGGAAAACCCATGGGAAATATATGGTAAGTCTATAAGTATATGGGAAGTATATGGATAAATGTAGGAACAAGCAACTATAAATGGAGGTTTCTAGCTGGGAAAATGATCTATCAGCGTTTTTTTTTTCAGCAAACCATGTTTGATCACCAGAAATCACCAGCGAATCGCACCAGGCTCTCGGGCTAGATCTGCGTTGGCGAGCCTGCTATGTCAAATCCCCAAAGCCACGAAGGTCAATCATCGAACTGAATGGGTGATTACCCGGCCTGGTAAACCTATAAAAAACTATGGAAAATCACCATGTTCAATGGGAAAACTATGGAAAATCACCATTTTTAATGGGAAAACTATGGAAAGATCCACCATGTTTGTCTGAAAATGTTGTGTACCCCATTGTACCCAATGGTTTTGCTGATCAGACAATCCCGTTTTTAAATGGCTATTTCATTGGGAATATTAACCCAACATTTTCAGACAAACCCATATTCCAAGCCACGTTTGATTGCCGGAGGGTCATGTTTAGTGCTGAGCTTTGTGCTGAACTTTGTGTTGAACTTAGTGACTTAGTGTTGGCCCATCTCTTTCGGGGCTTGATAGGCTAAAAAAATCCGTCCGCACATGTGTTGTGAACCATTCTGTTGATCGTCATTCTCCCCATCAAAACGTGCCCTTTACATGGATTCAAATGTGCTATGAAAGGTATATGTGATATATATATATATATAATATATTATAATATATCATAATGTATTATAATATATATATACACATACACACGCCATTATTGAACAAAACCAAAGGTGTCTTGCTTCATTCACTAGCTTCCCCCCTGCCAGGCGAGATCCAGGGTTCCTGAAGTTTTCTGGGGTTCTTCATGAGTTCGAAAATTCATTGTGCCCACGTTTGAGAAGGTCTTTTTGTTTAACAACACTCCGTTTCTTCAAAAAAATGTGCCTCCCAAAACTCCAGATATCTCCAGATTCTTGGAATGTTTCCCCGGGAGACTCCAGATGTTCAGTTCCCAAAACTCCAAACGTTTCGTCCGTTTCGTTGAAGCCAAACCATTTTCAAGGTCCAAAACCCAAAGGCTGTGAAAACCTGGCCTGGCGGCAATGGGCCCAGGCGCGCTAAAGCCAAAGTGATCCCTGGAGCCCGGCTGGTGGATCGCTGTGCCTGAACCGATGGGTTTTTGGATGGAAAAATACTGGGATGATGACGGGATTGTGATGGGATGAAGAGTGAAGAATAGAGAGAATAGCTAAGAATTGTAGGGATTAGTGGTGATTACTTGGGATGTACTGGTAAACTAACAGTTCGCTATCGAAAATCACCCTTTTTTTATAGGTAAATCAACTATAAATAACCATGTTCAATAGCTATTTCGACATAACCAGAGGGTATCATTGGGAATCCCCAACCTTCTAGAGGGGATCAACTGGAATTGCACCATCATTGCTAGGACAGAACCAATGATATAAAACGATATTTTTTCGGGAATATTCCTGGGGAATGAGCCATAGTCCTACTAGTCTAAAACTAGATACAAGGGGAATAGAGATTCCACAGCTTGCCGATCGGCTTGGGAGATGGGAAAGAACAAGTGATGGAAAAGTGACACAAAATGGATGAAGAAATTGCAAAAGTGAATTCGTGGAAACTTGAAAATTGGCAGAGATGACCCGCAGATTTCGTGGCAAAAAAGTTGCTGCAGCGAGCCGAATATCTCCGGAACTGCACTGCGCCGTTCAGCGGAAAAAAATCAGCTGCGGGTAGTTGTTAAGTGAAAAAAAAACAGAAACCATACCATTTGGGCATGGTTCTTATGTTTTATGAACCATGCATAGTACCCTCTGGTTATTTAATGTAGCCATGGAAAATCAACATTTTTGAATTCGGTAAATCATCATGTTCATCTATTTGTATGGACATTTTCCATAGCTATGTGAAATAACCAGAGGGTAATCACCATGAAAATTCACTATTAGCCATTAATTTAACCACCATGAATCGCCATTCGTTCACAATTAATCACCATTAACCATAGATATTCCCATATTAACCATCTATTAACCATCTATTAACCATCTATTAACCACTATATTTCCCATCCATTGACCCCCAAAACCCCCTTCCCCCAAGGGCGTCAGCCACTCGCCTGGTGGGTAAGGGCTGCGGGCAAAGGATCTCATCTCATTCATCACCTGCCATGGAAAAAATCAGCGCTGTGCCGAGCAAAATATTGATAGTTGGGGTGCATTGTTACCCTCTGGTAAACTAACATAACTATTGAAAATCACCGTTTTTAATGGGTAAATCAACTATAAATTGCTATTTTCAATAGCTATGTTAAATTACCAGAGGGTATATGTCCCTACTGTAGTTGGGAACAAAAAGAATCATAAATCAGTATTCTATGATATTCCCTGTCCCTATTTGTTAACAAAGAACCATAAATCAGATTAAATCAGTATTCTATGTCCCTATTTGTTAATGTTAATTGATTGTAACTGGCATGTAATACTAATATGAACTGAGAATAATTGACCGTATGAACTTATAACTTACAATTAACTGGCAGTATATGAACTCATCCCTACTGTACCTGGGAACAATATCAATTACCTATTCCGGCCATGAAAAACATGGCCCTAACCCTACCGCTGCGATGGTTGATAGTGAAATATGGTGAAATGTTGCCGTGCTCAATGGTTGAACAGGGATAACCTGCTCTCAAGAAACCAGTGGGTGTGTGGATGACAGGTTCCCTGAACACCTCTCTGGTTGGATTCTGTCGAATCCCGATTGTCAAAGAACATCAAAGAACCATGATTGCCGGAAACATCGAAACAAATCACCATGTAGTATGTAAAATCATCAGCTTTGGTATAATTTGGATTCCACAATTCTGGAAGATCATTATGTATTTAAGATGTTTTAACCATCATGTCTTGCATATCCACATTGTCACAAAACCCCCTTTTGCGCCTCATAGGTGGTCTTCCAATTGTCGGCATCGGCCTGGGGGAAAAATCCCTGGGAAAAATCCCTGGGAAATGCTGCATCGTTGGATCCCAAAGTGGACCGTTTTTCGAACTATTTCGAAGCCTATTTTGCTGGGATCGATTTCAGAGAAAAAATTGGGGACCTCCTATCCAATCCCAATTTTTCTGGGGAGCGGTTTAGATGTTTTCTGGAGAAAATCACATCTATAGGACCATGGGACCCATGGGTCGGTGGTCATTTTTTGATGACCGTCCGCCCAAGATTTTTTCAGATAAATTTGGACCATCCGACGACCAGAAAGGTAGAAAGTCAGCATAATGGTTGATCCCAATCATTCCTCCAATAACGATTGATTTGTTCAAGGTAAAAACCTCACCCAATCATTCCTTGCAATGAGTTTCTCTGTGGAACAAATCCTGACCGAAAACGAAAATGAAAACTCATGATTTTTGGGCCATCATAAAAGATGGCTTTCCAACATCGGAGATGAGATACCACCAAAAATGAATCTTCACATGTTCTGAAAATCTGCACCTCCATTCCCACGGGATAGAATCGGTCAGTCATGTTGCCCTGGACGGCAGCTGGGAGCTTTCCAGGGGTGAGAAAACTCACTGACAAATTATGGAAAGCCAATGGATAATGGGAAAGCATGGGAAATATATGGAAAATGTGTACATGGAAAAATCTCGGGAAATCCACCATAAATGGAGGTGTCTAGCTGGGAAAATCAACAAACTATTGCTGGTGGATTTTACAGCAAGCCATGTTCGATTAGAGGGTAAATGGTGGATGGAATGATTGAATATAGTGGGTTCCCAGCAAATGAAATGGAAAGCTCGCGGGGCAAAAACTCATATGTACATTGAATCATCCTGAAATTTCTATAGGATGTTCATGGATTTTCAAAGATATCTGATATCACCATTTTATAGTCAGTTTTGTTTCACGTATTCTATCTACTCCATTGCCCTGTGTGTATCCCAAGAGACCCTGACCAGTGAAGATATGTCACGTGGCGGCTACGCCCCACAGTCACTTGACACAAAGGGATCAAGTCATATCAAGTCCCTCAACCTCCATAACCTCCATCAAACCATGACATTGATTGAAAACTGTCAATTCCAACATGGCAAAAGGGCCATGTGGACAGCAGATTCACAGCAAAGGGCCATCTGGTTAGATCATGTTCGATCATGCCGACAAACATTGGGGCATGGCAGTGCTGCCCGAAATTTTATAGCGGAATTATGACCTGACTTCATATTTCAAGGCCGTTCAAGGCCGTATTATGATTCTCCCAGATATAAAAACAGCTGTGAAATCGTTCGAGGTTTCTATAAAAAGTGATTGTGCATTTTTTAGACACGTCAGTTTCAATCAGAACATCATGAGAGTCCTACCGGGTACTCTCCCTGAACAGTTGAAAACCACACGGCTGATCACGGTTGACCCGGTGGCTACTACCCAATTCATTGGGGATTTTCATTATGGGAGCTCCTATATAAACCAGCGAATATCATGGGGCTATTGGGGGTCTTACCAACAAAAAGGCCATTGCCCAATTTAGTAGGACCACACTATCTTGAGTCCTATCCTATTACATCCGCACTTATATTCCATGAATATCCCATGAGACATCCAGTTGTATCCCCATGATATATATATATATACGCATATATATATATCCCCGTCTTTGCTGATAATATAATACAGATTAACATCATATCCCATGCTGTCTCCATTATACCACCATTTTTCTTGGTTAAGTCACACTTTTTGATGGTTGCTTTGTTGGAAACCAGCTGCTGGCCTTGTGACACCAGGTGCGGGCCGCGCGTTGCGCTGTCTTCCACGAAGCGGGACCCGGAATTTTCCCGGTGGCTGAAGGTGAAAATGGCCACAGGCGGATGGATATAATGCGATCTGCTCTATTGTATTGTAATGTACCCTCTGGTTATCTAACGCAGCTATGGAGAATCACAATTTTTAATAGGTACAGTAAATCATCAAAAAACATCTATAAATGGGCCATGTTCCATGGCTATGTTAAATAACCAGAGAGTATATCTAATATATGATATGGTTGTTTAACATAGCTATGGTATAGATGGTCCGTTTGTGGAATATTTAAGTGATGAGTTACTGATTCAAAAACGGTGATTTTCTATAGCTGCATCAAATTGCCAAAGGCTATTATAGAGATAGTAAGCATGAATCAGGAAGCTGGTTGCAATGTCAACCCCGGACTTATTCGAAGGTAGCTAGTCTTTGGTTCGGGCACCGTTTCAACGGGGCTGATGATCAACCTTGCCACAGACCCCCCCAGCCCTCGGCCGCACGAATGTTTGGTGTTTTTTTTTTCCGAAAGAAATAGATGGGTTGATGGCTGGTGTCTATTGGTGTCTGGGATTCTCCCAGATTTGGAAAGACCTTTGGCACAGCTGGTCTCCAGCGGGTCGGACTTCGGCGGGTCGAGAGACCGGGCCCCGGAAAAGAGCGTCAATGGTCTGATTCGGCCTCGGTCAAAAGATTCCACCGAACATATTTTCAGGGACAAATTTGTAGGAAATCCAAGATGTTTACAAATAATATGAGGGGAATCATGCAGCTAAGTTGCTGCTGTTTTCCACCTAGGAACCAAGATGCCAGACTCGAAATCTGGTCAAAACATGTCGAAACATCATATGGCGGTGAAAACTACACAACGCAGATCTTGTACCATGTTATACCAACATACCAACATACCTTAAGTGCTTAGCTCGATATGAACTCCCGCGAGAGTTATGATCAAGGCAGCCAAGATTTTTGGTGATTTTCCCAACATTTAAAGACCAGCATCCCTTCCAAGATTCGTTCCCCCCATTCTCCCATGATCTTTACATAAAAGTATAGTGGAAAAACATTAGCATAAACAACTAATGATGAAATTGATGGAATCACAATGATCCCAAGCTCTCACATAATATACATCATCATTAATGACATATAGATACATATCCCATAGGATCCATGTATGGTATATGTGCTAACATTGGGGGTGTATTGATGGTAAATGTTCCCATATATAGCATACATGGATCCTATGGGTATAGTATAAACAACTAATGCTATACTGACGATCGTAGAATCCTCTCCTGAGCCGCGCTTCGCTAAGCGCTTCGCGTCGCGCCTCTCAGCTCTTCAGGAGCCGATCCTGGATTTGGGTCTGTGGATCTGATGGGTGTTTGCAATCTTGAATGCCAAATAGATGAGAATCCATGATAATCCCTCGTTTTTGATGATAATCATTGATAATCCCTCATTCTTGATGAGAATCCATGATAATCCTCATTTTTTGGACAAAGAACAACTCATGATATGATCTGATCTGGTCAGCTCAAAACTCCACAATCTGATCTCAATCTCTCCAGCTGGATCTGTTTGGAAAGTCATCGCCCCTCCGTTCACCGGTCCTTGCTCTTGTCTTCCAGCAACTTCTGCTCCTCCAACTCGCCCGGAGTCAGGATCCTGGGCCGAGGATCAGGTGTTCCTCGAGAAGTTCTCACATCCACATTCCATGGGCAGATGGATGTCCCAAAAACAACAATAAAGTGGTGTAGTATTACCCATGGTACCCATGGTATTACCCATAAAAACATGGTATAACCCATATATTAAGAGTTATTAAGTAATGCTATTGATCCATCCCGGCTAAAAAAACCCAAGACCTTGACCTCCGAAACCTCAGAATGGTAACTGTAAAAGTGCCTAAGTCGTCACCCGAAACTTCATCGCAAGCCCGCAACAAACTTACCGACATCTATACCAAAAAAAAATAGGCTTTTTTTTGGGCCTTCAGAAGTCATATGAGTCATATTAGTACTATGGTCAAAAGATATGGTGCCTGACCCAAAAAATATGGGAATATGGGAATCCAAACATGATGGATCTCGAAAATCCAAGATTTCACCCAGATTTCCATCATCCTCCCCACCCAACCCAACCCCCGATAACCCTCCGGTAATTTGTTACACAACTCTTGAAAATTTGGCCCAGTCGAAATAGTTGATTTACCCATAGCATGGTGATATATGGTGATGTTTCATAGTTTTTGTATGTTTACCAGAGGCTCTCCCGTTGTTTTTCTTCGTTGTTTCCGCAACGGTGCTGGGCCGGCCCCGCTTGCCCTGCTCCCCCACGCGCTCGAAGATCTGCGGCGTGCCGTCTGGCTGAGACTCCAGGGCTTCGATGACCTGAAGGCGAAAGGGAAAGTGAGATTATCCTGGGATTTTCATGGTGGATATATCTGGGTAAATTAATATATATTTCACTAACCATCTATACCATAACTATGTTAAATAACCATATCATATATTAGATATACCCTCTGGTAATTTAACATAGCTATTGAAAATGGTGATTTATAATGGATTTTCCCATTGAAAATGGTGATTGTCCATAGCTATGTTAGTTTACCAGAGGGTATGATGATGATTTTCATGGTGGATATATCCCATTGTATTAAGGGATTGTATCTGGCTGAGATTATCCCAGGGAATATATCCCATAATGGTGATTATCCTGGGATTTTCATGGTGGATAAATGGTCTCTAGGTGAATATAATAGTGAATATATCCCATTGTATCTAACATTAAATCTCAATGGATTGGATTAGGGGAAATTTTAACCGGAAAGCCCCATATTTAATGGGAAAATCTATGGTTTCCGGTTAAGATTTTCCTTTAAACCAATCCATTGAAAATAGGGATGGTATCTAAGAGATATATCTATAAATTACTATAAATAGATATAAATTATACTAAATATATCCCATTATATCATGGGAATTATTATAGAGTATCTAGTGAGACAATGGGGATTTAATGGGATTTTTAATACTCCTAATGGGTTTTAATGGAATTTTAATGGGGTATCTAATGGGATATAAATATCTAACATGCTGATAGAAATATAAATACTCCTAATGGGATTTTAATGGAGCATTAATGGGATTTGAATGGGATCTAAAGGGGATTTATAGGATATATATAGAATGTCCATTTAATGGAATTTTGATTGTATTTTATAGAGTATCTAGCTATGATTTATATCATGGGAATTATGATAGAGTATCTAGCTAGGATTTTAATGGTGAATATAATGGATTCAATGGGGTGTCTAATGGTCTCTAGGAATTTTAATAGTCCATTAAAAATTGGAATATTAGGTAGCCATATCCCATTCAATATATCAATAGGGAATTTTAATGTGGTATCTAATGGGATATAAATATCTAACATACTGATAGAAATATAAATACTCCTAATGGGTTTTAATGGAATTTAATGGGTTTTAATGGGTGTTAATGGAATTTTAGTTTAATGGGGTATCTAATGGGATATAAACATCTAACATACTGATAGAAATATAAATACTCCTAATGGGTTTTAATGGAATTTAATGGGTGTTAATGGAATTTTAATGGGATATCTAATGGGATATAAATATCTAACATACTGATAGAAATACAAATACTCCTAATGGGTTTTAATGGATTTTGATGGGGTTTAATGGAAATTCAATGGGGCATCTAATGGGATGATCATGGAATCTATAAGTGCTATCTAATAAACAGGGATATATATATATATTCTAATGGGTTATCTAATGGGTATTTCTATAGTATTTCTAATGGTATTTCTATAGTATTTCTAATGGGTATATTAGATATTTCTGTAGTATATCCCAACGGGGATTCAATGAGGTATCTAATGGGATATAAATTATAAATATCTAATATACTATAGAACTGACTATAGAAATATATAGATGATCATGGAATACATATGGGGTTTGAATACATGGTGAATATAATTGGGCTAGTTAATGGGATATGAATCCCATTTATTGCTACTATACTAATGAATAATGATGACAAACTAGAGGATATAAATCATCAAGAAATTGAGTTTACGGTGAGTGAGAAGTTTTATTGGATTGAAGCAACCGAAATCATGAATCTTTGTTTTGTGAAAAGACAATCAACAAGGAGGATGAACAGAAATCCATAGTGAAGTCAAAAATTAGTGGAACTGCCTGTCTGGGAGCATATCACCAATGCAAATGCCACGGAAAATACGAATAACTGGCAAAGAAATGCCCATCAAAAGCAGTGAGTGCGCATGCGAGGGTCACAAAATGATGATATGTCACCAATCTACTGTACCAATCGATAGAGACATACCCTCTGGCAATCAAACACGGAAATGGACAATTCCATCATTTAGAGCTGAGGTTCCTCTTAAAACCTCAAGTTTGGTTCGGGCTTTTCCAGCCACGTTTAATTCCCGGGTCTTCCATCAAAAGATTCCATGAATAGCTCCATATCCCATGAATATCCCATGTTTTTCGCTAAAAAAAAAATCATCACCATGCCGCGACCTGATCGATTTCTGCATCTCTTTCTTTCTTCTTCACCTCAATCGTCCAGTGCTGGGATATGATTCTCTCCAGGCAGAATTCAAACAATTGGATGGTTTATAATGGAAAATCCTATTAAAATGGATGATAGCTGGGGGTGCCCCATTCTGGGAAACCTCCAAATGTCTAATAATTGTGATCGCTCATTAGAATAGACATGAGTCGATAAAATATCCATCCTAAAAATCTATGAGAAGAGACTAGAAAGTGGGACTCTAATTTAATCATAACATAACTGATAAAATGTTGCCTATGCAAATCATACAATATTCCAGATCCGACAATGTCATTTAATCATAATCAGTCCGAAATCAGTGTTTCTTGCAATTTAACAGGATCTTGTCGAATTTTACTTGTTTGTTGAGTGTGATTATATAAGTTCATAGTATAAGAATCATAAATCCAACAAGTCGAAAGATCTTGATAGTGCTATGCAATACAATTATGAAAGGATCAGTAATTGAAAAAAAAAAACCATCGAAAGGAGTCTTCAAAAAAATCTTCAATCATTCCAGGTTTCCCATGGTTTTCACGTGGTTTCCCCCCATTTCTATAGAAATCATGCCATCCCCGTCCCATCCCCGAAACACGTTGCGAAACCCGCCTTCTGGATGCGGCCAATCCGTTGCCAGGAGCTGACGCCACCAAGCAGGAGGCCCTGGCGTGGCGGTTTGTGTCAGAGCTTGTCATAATCCAAGGGTTGGTTTCAATATTTCTATATATTATACCTATATTATGTATATATATATATATATACATATTATAACTACATTATGTATATCTCTTTATATATATATACATATATACATTGACAGTTTTAGAGGTTTTGAATCAACCAAGGATGAAGGCGATCAAGGATTGTTTTTTCATTGGCAGTTTTGACTCCGGTGTGCCATCCTAGTCACGGGGAACCCGCAAGGATTTTGTTCTTTGTTGTCAGCCATAGTTATAGTTGTTATATGTTGTTATCATGGCCACCGGGAATGGTTGACTCTAACTAACTATGGCTTTTATTGTGACATACTATACTTAGCTATAGTTAACTGTAGTTAACTTTTAGCTAACCATCACATACCATAACTATAGTTCACCATAACTAACCTAGTAACTATAGGACCTTACTATTCTTAATAAGCCCTGTTCGCTCATCCAGTTCCTACCCCGGCGACCGTTTTCGCCACCAGACGCGCAGCGGTCAAGCCCAGCGCATCGCTGCGGCCAAGCAGCCTGAAACAGAAGAGATTGGGGGAAAAAACACAACAAAACAAAAAAAATGCAAATATACATCGGCCAGTATTTTTACTACTAATATTGAAAATCCATGAGGTCATATATATATATATATCGATGTATCACAATGATATACCAATGATACACCTATGTTCAATTGCTATCACCCATGGCGATCACCCGGCAGTTGCGATACATCAGGCGCCTCGGCAGGAACTGCGCTTGCGACCTTTGCGACCTGATTTGATGTCAGGTGTCAGGTGTCAGGGACACAACTTAGGGCCTTTAGGAACCTAATGATGGTGATTAATGGTGATTAATGGTGATTAATGATGGTTAATGATGGTTAATGATGGTTAATGATGGTTAATGATGGTTAATGATGGTTAATAATCTGATTGGTGGTTGACCTACACCTCTGAAAAATATGAGTTCGTCAGTTGGGGCTATTATTCCCAATATATGGAAAAATAATTATTCCCAATATATTGAAAGTCATAAAAGCCATGTTCCAAACCACCAACCAGTTGGGGTTTCAGCAAAGCACAAGAGAGCAGTGAAGTGGGCACAATATCACCATGTCTTATTGCCTGCAGAATGATGAGAATGGATTTACAGTAATCCTGGCATCACCATCAACTGGTAGTAGTTCGGAGAACATCTGGGTTTGTCTGCAAATAAGGGACCCCAATCTCCCATTGCTTATCAATCCTTCTGAAAGGCTGTTCAAGTGTCAAAGACATTCAAGAATATATTTCGCAACAAAAAAACACGTCAACCAATATAAAATGCGTCAATTATGGATCAATTGGTATCTCAACTATAGGTAAATTGGTATATCATCTAATTCATCACCATGTCGCAAATCCTTTTGACCACTAAATCCCATGAAAAATCCCATCCACATGGTATTTCCCATAGATTTTCCCGTCCATTTCCCCCGGAAATCCCATGGCAAAATCATGGTCAGAGCGGCTCCAGCACATCGACCACCGGCTCCAGGGACACGGGGTTCACGGCCAAGCGAAGCTCCACCTGGCGCGGAAGTTTCTGCTGGTGGAAACCATGGGGATTTCCAAGGGAAATCGATGGGAAATCGATGGGAAATACCATGGTTTCATGGGATTTCCAAGGGAAATCGATGGGAAATACGATGGATATATGATGGGATATGAATGGGATATTCATGAAAATATCATCCGCACGGAGTGTAATGGGGGTGCATGGGATTTAAAACCCACCACAAAAATGGGAGTTGTATATCGGCTCAAAAAACCTCATCCCATCCCATCCGTCCGCATCTTTGGCACCGGTTGGTTAAAAGGAAATTCCCACAACAGATCATCATGATCCCCGATGTTCCTAATGGATATAAGTATTGTAAACCGCATTAATTTTCCAAGTAACTGTACAGTTTCATATTGTTCCAATATGATGGGTATGTACACTGATACTTTCTGGTTGGTGGTTGAACCACCCATCTGAAAAATATGTACTGGTCATTGGGGATCAAAAAAAATCCATCATATGGTTGAAATTGTTTGTAAAACAATGTGAACCCCCCATCTAGTAATTCCTCAGTAGTATCCAATTTAAGATCCCATTATAGATACCATCATTATCCCATTGTTGTCCCATTCTCCTTGTGATCAATGGGAATATCATTAACTATGTTGGTTAATACCGAACTATTGTCAAATTGTTGGTTTGATAAACTAACTTTTTGTGAAATAACTGTTGTTAGTGAGATAACAAACAGTTTAACCAACAGTTAATTCAGAAAAAGAATAGTTGGTGAAACTATCACTATTACCGGTAGTACCGCACAAGGCGGTGGCGGAAATTTCAAAAATAGGAAACCTATAGGAGGGTTTGGTTGTTGTAAATCACGGATGGCAGAGCGAAGCCACTGATGGACCGAAAGGTGCTTGAGGTCTCCTCTCTTTCTCTCTCTTTCTCTGACTATCTACCTACTTTGTCAAGTTCAAAAATTGAAGAAGTCTCGCAGAATTGCTTCGTTTTGGATGTTGTCAAGTTCAAAAAAAGAAGAAGTCTCGCAGAATTGTTTCGTTTTTGACGTTGTTAAGTTCAAAAATTGCGGAAGTCTCGTAGAATTGTTTCGTTTTGATGTTGTCAACTTTGAAAACTGAAGACATCTCGCAGAATTGCTTCCTTTTTGACGTTGTCAAGTTCAAACATTGAGGAAGTCTCATAGAATTGCTTCGTTTTTGAGGTGGTCAAGTTCAAAACCTGAGGACGTCTCGCAGAATAGTTTCGTTTTCAAGCTTGCAGACAGACAGGTAGATAGATAGACAGACAGACAGACAGAGAGAGAGAGAGATAGATAGATAGATGGATAGGTAGATGGGGAGATAGATAGCTACATAGCTAGATAGACAGATGAGATAGATTGATAGCTAGATAGCTAGATAGATAGACAGACAGACGGACAGAAGGATAGATAGAGAGACAGATAGACAGACAGACAGACAGACAGACAGATAGATAGATAGATGGATGGATGGATGGATGGATGGATAGATAGATAGATAGATAGATAAATAGATAGATAGATAGATAGATAGATAAATAGAATAGAACAGAACAGAACAGAACAGAATAGAATAGATGGATGGATAGATAGACAGATGGATAGGTAGATAGCTAGGTAGACAGATGAGAGAGAGAGAGAGAGATAGGTAGATCGATCGATCGAATCGAATCGAATCGAATCGAATCGAATCGATTCGAATCGAATCGAATCGAATCGAATCGAATCGAATCGAATCGAATCGAATCGAATAGAATAGAATAGAATAGAATAGAATAGAATAGAATAGAATAGATAGATCGATAGATCGATAGATCGGTAGATCGATAGATCGATAGGTAGGTAGGTACATCAAAAACAAAGCAATTCTGCGAGACTTCCTTCAAAAATGGAAAGTTGAGTGCAGCGCTGACGGCCTCGTACCAATGCGTCTTGCGATTTTTCCACTCCACCTGTCTAAAGTACTGCGCCTGCCACGAAAAATTGATGTCAGGTCATACGAAGTGCTGCACCTGTCACGCAAAATCATCGTAGCAAACCTACAGATCTGATGCTCCAAAGTGCAACCCTTCTCAGGAAATCAGCGCCCTGACCTCCTAACATCTCTGATGAACATGTCTTGTGTACTGCGCCTGCCACGCGACATGATCCTCTTCAAATGTCCCACGCCTGCCATCGTTTTTGCAAATGCTATGAAACCCTCACGTTTTGCTCACTTTTGAGAAGGTGCACAATCCCTTGCGCCTGCCACGCGAAACGACATCTGAACCTCCAAAAGTGGTCCGAACCCCTGGTGTTTCTAGCATGTTGACTTCGAAATGTGCTTCGCGCCACAACGGTGTGCACTTTTTCGACATCTCAACTTCCAAAAGTGGTCCGAACCCCTGGTGTTTTTTCACATGCGCTTCGCGCCACAACGGCATGCACTTTTTCGACATCTCAACTTCCAAAAGTGGTCCGAAGCTGGTGTGTTTTGTACATGTTGACTTCGAAACGTGCTTGGCGCCACGACGGCGTGCACTTTTTCGACATCTCAACTTCCAAAAGTAGTCCGGAGCTGGTGTGCTTTGTACATTTTGACTTCGAAATGTGCTTCGCGCCACAACGGCGTGCAATTTTTCATCTCTCATCTGGCCAGATGGCTCCGCACCCGCCGCTTTAGCGAGCCTACTTTTTGACCCTCCGGAGCCACAAATCATTGGAAAAAACACAGTGTTTCGCGACTTTCCTATCTTTTCGCGCATCTGCATCTTCTTTTTTCTTACTCTTTCTCTTCTCTGATCTTCTCTCTTCTACTCTTCTCTTCTCTCTGACTCTTCCCATCTCTGCTTTTCATCTGTCCATATTGTCGGAAGTTTGACTTCTAAACTTCCTTCGATAATTGGATATACTTGGGTATTGTTTCACAGACTAATACTAACTACTACCCTCTGGTAAACTAACATAACTATGGAAAATCACCATTTTTTATGGGAAAACTCACTATAAATGTGCCACTGTGAGTTACCCACTACCCACCAATCTCAGCCGCACCATCTCGTCCAGAAGTTCCAATGCCAAGCGCCAGCTTTGCACCGCCCGGCAGGTGACGAGCACCGCGTTGTAGGCGATGACCTGTCGGCACGTGCGGCACCGCTAGAAGGCGGCGGCATGGGAACCACGAGGTAAAGCTGTTAATTTAACATAGCCATAGAAAATCACAATTTTTAATAGGTATTTCAACTAGAAATTTGCCATTTTCCATAGCTATGTTAGTTTACCAGAGGGTAACATCCATTTTTGTCTGGGATTTTCCATGAAACCATCCAGCTATTGTACCATCCGGGACATCTGAGACATCCCAAGTCCCCAAGTCCCCAAGTCCCAGTCACATGATCAGTCTTCAATTAGATCCAAATTGTGATTCTATTATACTGGTTAATAACTGGATTCCCCCTTCATGGATTGTGATATGCCCCCCAAAAAATGATACATTCCCCGAAGTAATCATCAACCAACCATCATTTATCAGTTATGTCCACGTATATCCCCATATGTTCAGGGTTTAAAACCCCTACTCAATGACTATCATCAACCAACGACGGTATCATCAACCATCATTTACGCATTCTCTATCTCAATATTTTGAATGGTTAAATCCCCATTAATCACAACAATCATCAACCAACAACTTCACCAGTATGTGGATGAATGATTGAACCAGCAAAATTTGTTAACCATACATCAATCATAGTTCATTCAACCATAAAGATGGCTTATCACCAGAAATGCCATCTGCATCTCATCATTCTCAATGCCATCTGCATCTCATCATTCTCAATGGAAAGGTGGCCAAGTGGCTCCTGGCTCTGGCAGCTGCGGCAGCTCCCCACCCTGCAGTTGTAAAGTTGCCCGGCGCAGCAGCAACAGTTGGGGAGAAAGCTGCCGCGCCTTTTCGCAGGCCTGGGTCGCCATCGAAATGGAAAACACGTCCAAAACTTATCGGGAAACCATAGGGTATTTCTATTAATGGTGGAAATTCCATGGTTTACCATGGTTTACTGGTGGTTTAACGGGCTTTAATCGTGGTTTAATAGTTGTTAAATGGATAAACATACAGAAAGAAGTGGAAAACCAATGGGGAAAACCATTAACCCGTTCCGTTCGGACATGATTTACCTTTCATGGTGGAATTTCCACATCTATTTTAGTTTACTGGAAGGTGTGTGTGTGTATATATATATATGTATTGGTATTCGGTGAGAATCTCCAATCTTTCCGTTGGGGTCCAACTTCTTCCCCCAATCCCCATTTTGATCAAGATTGCTGATGAAATGTCGTCACAATCATCACAGCACAGATCAATTGCTGATTCCGTGCCTAGCCCTTGCTGATCAATACCCCCCGTTGATGAAACATGGGGAAATGGAATATGCCAATTTCTCATGTTTATTTTTCCACGTTTGCTTGGAGATTCCACCCAACCCATGAAAAACATTGATTTCGAATGGTTTCTGACACTAATTTTCAATACTCTCACCAATACAGGAGTTAAAAACCCAACCACCCAATCCACATCTCGGCCACCAGACCCGGCCAAAAAAAAAGTTCCGGAACGTTTTAGAACTAACACAAGTTAATTTATCACGGCTCACTTGGAAAAGTGCCATCCAACCCATTCATCTTTAAAGTCAAAGTTCCCATTGTATCCCCACTGTATACCCACAAAATTATATGTGCACCAATGATACCCCATCATTTGCACTTGATTCATCGCCATTGCTGAATTCCATCAAATTTTACCATGTGTTCATCGCAGCAAACAGATCATTTTCTCTTCAATATCATTGAGTTATCTAAATGTAAATACACATATACTTACATGTCATATATCTACATATAAAAATAATATATATATATATATGTGTGTGTGTGCGCGTGTGATTTGTAAATATCAGGAGGGCCGGCAAACCGAACTGGGAACCGGCTGACCGGCAGCCGCTTAACCGAACCGGAAAAATTAACGAACCATGCAAGAACCGAACTGGAGCAAATTCTGTTGAACCGAACCGGCTTCGTAGGTTTACACACGAATATCTGTATACAAGATTGACCAGGACATGCAGCAGGGTTGGGAAGGACAGCGGCCGCGCGACTTTGGCACTGAGGCCTCCAAGGCAATGGAAAGTTCAAAAGGGACAAAGGCGCACCGACAAGAGAGAACCAGCAGGCGTCTTGTCGTGCGTTGCGATTCATGAACCGCCTTTTTATCACACGATTCTGAAACAAATCTGCGAAGGCAAACAAGACAGACATAAGAGTTGAGAGTTAACATGACATCTGAGCTTGGGACGAGCGTGGACAGATGATTGTGAATCCGTTGGTAATACAGCTAGGAACCGTCCTGTTCCAAACCAAAAAATGGGCGCCTTCCAATTACGTTTTCATGTGCCCTCACACAGAGCCAAGTGCAAGGACAAAGCGGGTTGGAAGTGCCCCATGGAATCCACTGAATTTCAGCCACGTCATCTACCATTTGTGGGCAACCCAATGACTTTAAGCCACGCAATCAGCAAGAAGTATAACCCATTGACCGCGACACTGCTGCTTCAACAGGCCCAAAGAAATGACCACGTGGTATGGGACCAAGAAACTGTGTATTGTTGCCCAAGTCCTGGACATGTTTGGCAAGTGGTGGGCTTCTTGAAGGTGGGGTGGGAGCGTTGGCCCCGGCTTTGCAAGCCATAGCGGTTGGGGGGCCCCATTCTGAAGGAGTCTTGAAGTGGTTGGCAGCAGAAAGTTTTGCAGGCCGCAAATATGGCGCTGAGGTCACTGAGGTGACTGTAGCCAACGTTCATCTGCAGCAATCCTGTTTCAACACTGACAGTTCCTCAACAAACAGGTCGCGATCAGGACTGACAACGACGTACTCGTCGCCTTCAATGTGCTCTAATGCCCAACACTCATGCCATAGCACCGGGCCACCCACGTCATACTGCCAGGGGATGGTCATGGTGTTTCTAGCGTATGGTATGTATTGAACTCTTCCACTCCACCTGTGGACGCGGGCTTGCTTCTGTCTTCTTTGTCAGTATCCCCCCCTGTGGTGTGGCCTGTGGTGGGGTGGAGGAGGGCAGGCGGTTGTATAGTATAGAATATATAGTGTGTTACAATATGTTACAATATATAGTATATAGAGAACAAAGTTATACGTGTGTATAGTATATATAGTAGATGCAATATGTTATATTTACATATAGTATACATGCTGTAAATACTTACCGTATACATACTATATTTAATATAGTATGTACTGTAAATAATGTAAATAATGTATATACTGTACTATATAGTATGTATGTGTAAATATATATATATATACGCGCAACGCCTGGGTTTTGCCCAGGCGTTGCAGCGTAGAGGTTTCCCATTCACAAACAAATGATGTTGCAAATTACCGCAATTCCTATGGGGAAAATAACAAAGGTACTAGGGACTATTAAACAAACAAGGTCAAAACACCCGAAATTCCTATGGGAAAAACAAAAACGGCATAACATTTGAAATTCCTATGGAAAAAAACAACAAAGGTACTAGGAAATTTTAAACTCTCAAATCGTGAAACTTAACATTCAATTAGGAAGATCAACAAAGATATTAGGGAATATTAAACTCCCACCCCCGTTAAACCTTAAATTCCTATGGGGTAAACAACAAAGGTACTAGGGACTATATTTTAAAAAAAAAATGTCAAACACCCGAAATTCCTATGCGAAAAACAAAAACGGTATTAGGGAATATTAAACTCCCACCCCCGTTAAACTTTACATTCATTGAAGATCTTCAATAAGGGTTAATTCTCCCACCCCCGTTAAACTTCTACATTCATTGAAGATCTTCAATAAGGGTTTAATTCTCCCACCCCCGTTAAACTTCTACATTCATTGAAGATCTTCAATAAGGGTTTAATTCTCCCACCCCCGTTAAACTTCTACATTCATTGAAGATCTTCAATAAGGGTTTAATTCTCCCACCCCCGTTAAACTTCTTCATTGAAGATCTCCAATAAGGGTTTAATTCTCCCACCCCCGTTAAACTTCTACATTCATTGAAGATCTTCAATAAGGGTTTAATTCTCCCACCCCCGTTAAACTTCTACATTCATTGAAGATCTTCAATAAGGGTTTAATTCTCCCACCCCCGTTAAACTTCTACATTCATTGAAGATCTTCAATAAGGGTTTAATTCTCCCACCCCCGTTAAACTTCTACATTCATTGAAGATCTTCAATAAGGGTTTAATTCTCCCACCCCCGTTAAACTTCTACATTCATTGAAGATCTCCAATAAGGGTTTAATTCTCCCACCCCCGTTAAACTTCTACATTCATTGAAGATCTTCGATGAGGGTTTAATTCTCCCACCCCCGTTAAACTTCTACATTCATTGAAGATCGTCAATAAGGGTTTGATGATGTTGATGATGATGATGATGATGATGTTGATGATCATGATGTTGATGATGATGATGATGATGATGATGCGTCGCCCGTCGTCATTGCGGGTCCGGGCAAAACCCAGGCATTTGCCGTATATATATATATATATATGTGTGTGTATATAGCATATATATATATGCTATGCGAGGCATAAATAGTACATAGTGAGCAATATATAGTGTATATGGTGCAGTATATGGTGTAAATAGCACATATAGCTTTATGGTATGTAGTATGTAGTACACAGGAGTTGGGGCTTCAAAGTGCTGCAAATAGCATGTGAATGGGCAGTCTCTGGGGGGGGGGCCAGCAACACGGAACACGGTACATATTATATTGGATATATTGATTACATACATATTCTACAATGTACATGTGTATATATATATATTATGTGTATATATATATATATATATCATATATATATCATATATATATATATATATCATATATATATATATCATATATATCAATCCCAACCCATCCCTCCAAGGTACACTCACCACTGCGCTACACGTGGTCTCCGTGGCCGTCACGCGCCATTCCTCGAAGCGCCGCAGCAGCCGCAGCGCCGGGCGCCAGGCGCCCACCTTCTCCAGCGCCGACAGGGCGGCGTTGAGCGAAAAGATGTAGGGCTCGAAGTGCAAACGATGCATCTGATGGACCTGGAACGGATGGGAAATATCGATATTCATAGTGGTTCATAGTGGTTCATAGTGGTTTATGATGGGAATATTGATGGAATATCTATGGTTTATGGGAATATCTATGGTTTATGATGGGAATATTTATATGATTTATAGTGATTGATGGTGGTTATTAATGATTAATAGTGATTATGACTATATAGTGTTTTCTTTTGATGGGTTAACAATGGGTGAATGATGGGAAATATCGATATTCATGGGAATGTTGATGGAATATCTATAATTTATGGGAATATCTATGGCTTATACTGGTTTAACTAGATGGTTAGGGGTTACCCTCTGGTAAATTCACTTGTTGACCCATTTTTAATAACCCATGTTTAATGGAAACTCATCTTCCAACCCCGATGACTGCCAGGGTCTATGTTAATTTACTGGAGGGTAGATGATATATATATATAATGCAAATGTAGATGATGCATATTATGTGTATATGATGTATATATCAGGTGTATTGTTGTGTGTATGTAAATATATATATATATACGTATGGAATTAATGGGTGTTCATCCAAAAAAACAGTATTACATCGCTGTTGATCTTCCCGCTTGTTCATCTTGCTTGTAATTCTGTGTTGACCTTCCGATTTCTGTCCTTAAATCCCCATAGCTGGGTAGTACGTATGCCCTGGCGAGATATTAATTCGCACTAAATTATCAATTATTATTAGGGAAAAAAAGAACAGTATATAATTGTGGTAGATGTTCTGGAGAATCTGTTGGGTAAGCCTTGGCTTATTCAGCCTTGGCTTGTTTTTTTATTTGCCCAGTAAATCCCCATCGGAAATGATACTCCTTGGTTTATTTTGGCTTTACAATTGTATTCCAATAGATATCACCATATTATATATATAGACATATATATTGTTGGTTTATCTCCCATTCATATCCCGCGAATCCAAGCATGAATAACTCCCCATTCTATTATACGACCACCATGAAATTGTTGCTTAATATCCCATCACTATGAACATGTCCCTTAGATACTCCCCGTTGATCCCACTTAGCCCCCCCCCATTCTATTGGTCCCAATAGGGACCTGTAAATCCTCTACTTTCCTCCATGGTTTCTAGGGGAGTCTTTGTTTTATAAATGGGGCAAGTATTTTAGTGCGAATCCCCATGGTTTATGATAAATCCCCATCATTAACAAGATTACAAATCTGGTTGGTGGTTGAGCCTACCCCTCTGAAAAATATGAGTTCGTCAGTTGGGATTATTCCCAATATATGGAAAAATAAAAAAATGTTCCAAACCACCAACCAGAATATCGATTTTTTAGTCACTAGTAACCCATGTCAAACTATCCCATGCGCAAATCCCCATGGTCTATGGAGAAACATGGGGATGGGTCAAAACCCTGGTACCTAGTGAACCCCAAAATAGCTAGTAAATGGATGTTCATCCCACTAAAAATGGTATTAATAGGTATTGACCCATACCCACATCTCGACCTCCACAACTTTCCAAGTTGCCAGCTCCAGCGCACTTCGCCAACACTTGGCTTTCTCGCAGGCGCTGGTCTCGGGAGACCAGGTTGTGCCAGGCTTTCCCCACGGCTTCAGGCAACAAAGATCTACATTTCAGCAGCCCCAGTGGTGGTGTGACCGAGGTTTAGCCATGATGATTTTTCACGAACAAAGCTGTTGATTTAACCAGCCAAGATGGTGATTGGAGTGGCTCCCAGTTGAAGGTACTCAAAATTTTTGAAGTACTCGAAAGCCATGATTGTTGAATACATTTCTCTGGATCAGAATGGCCCAAAAAAAACGTCCGTTAACCCACTAACTAATGCTCTCTCTCATGAGATTTTATGGTGGTTCATGTCAACCTCTGATTGATAAACCCTGGGTTGCTCAATTAAGAGGATCACCAAAATAGTAATCAGAAACATTGGTCCCCGCCCCTAGTTGACAGTAGCCCAGTTTCAAACTGCACAAACAAACCCAGAAAAATTGTATAATCACTACAACAATGATGGCTTTGAAAATGGCAATGGATAACGCAAAAATCATATCTGTATGATTATTCATGGATCCCATATTTACAGTCATCACGAATACCCACTAACCACTTAATAAAAATAACATAGCTATCGCCATTCACATGGTAATTTTTTAAAAAAAAGTTAGAACAGCAATCTATCCCCCAATATCACAAAAAAATGGCTTGTATGTTCACATGTCATGTCTGAAGCGTCCAAAAAATGCTATGGGTTCTTCATTGGGTTTACCACATGATCCCTGCGATGCCTGGTTATCAGAATCCCCAATCAAAATCACCTATAACCAGGACACAAATGTTGACAAATTGGTGAATGATAAGTGGATCATCAGAATCATAAAAATTACATATATATATATATATATATATATATTACCTATAAAAACATCCTATAAACTATAAATTATAAATGTAACATGATCCCATGGGTAATATCCCCAATCAATGACCAATAAATGTGCGTTCCGATCACCAGGTCGCCGCGGCTGCGAAGCCGATGGCGTGCTGCTCGTCCATCGAGCGCTTCAAAGGTTCACCGAGGTCCACGTCGGTGCGCGACCAGCCAGGCCGGTCCTGGAGAGTTCGGAAAACCAGGGCCTGGAACTCCTGGGAACCACGGAGTCATGATGTGAAAAAGTATAACTGGTTGGTGGTTGAGCCAATTTTTGTGGAAAAAAATAACATACCATTGGTTGGTCATATACTATTAATATAGATAATATAGATATGTTCCAAACCACCAACCAGTATAAGTATAAGTATAGAACAAAAGCAAAGACAAGGGGAAATATAATGAATTATATAGATATGTTCTTGTTTTGGGCGTTTTGGATTGAGTTGACCAATGATCAAGAGGTTCACCCCGGGGTCAAATCTGGATGATGTTTTCCCCCAAAATTTCCAGGTGTCCTGCGTGTCCTGCGACATAATTGGGGGGCATCCCATGCACAGGTGTGAACTAAGCAAGGTCGTTTGCGCCAAAAATTATTGACAGACCTGGTGTTTTTCACTCCATGAATCCATGAAACTGGTAAATCACCAGCCGCCCAACACTTTCAACATCTTTGAACATGTTCGCTGCAACCTGGACGTTTGCCCGGAGTTGATGTCCCGCAATCAACGTATTGTTCAGAGGGGGTGGCTAATTTTGATCCCTCATGAAGATAAAGTTGATGTTATTTCCCCAACCAACATATTGTTCTGAGGAGGTGGCGAATGTTGATCCCTCCTGAAGATAAAGTTGATGTTGTTAGCCCGTTTAGCATATTGGTCATAGGGGGTGGCGGATTTTGATCCCTCATGATGATCAGGTGATATTGTTTCCCCATGAAGATATATAACTGTATTCAAGGTATCTTTCACATGCCACCGTGGCCTAATTTTCCCCCTTGGCCTTGTTTGGATTCGAACTTCCCACCAACACAGAATTGTCTCTTTTATGTCACAATGATGAGTCTGGGCGAACGTTAAGGTTGCGGACAACATGTTTATTGGCAATGCCAACACCCCCGCGCCTGCAGTAGACCTAAGGCCTCTCGCCATCTCTGATCCTGGAGGCCAATTCTGGTGAAGTCATTGGCTACCCCAATAAGATGGAGTAATAATCAAAATGGACTATCATCTTATTTTGATTTACTCCATCATCTTATTTTGGAATAATACTCAACCAAAATCTCTAGTTCCCCAGGTCTTTGATTTTTGATCCGTCCCCATGTGTAAAACGTAGGACTGATTCTCTACTAGATGTTGATTTGCCTTGTAATTCTCTCATGAATCGTAGCATGGCCAGCATCGGTGCCGATCCGTTGTTCGTTGTTTTGTTCCGAGTTCTCTCACAGCCGCTGTTGTTCTGGAGTGGCCATAAGCCACAGGTGCATCAGCGGCCAAAATACATTGAACAAATAGTTGCGCAAAAAATGGTGCATGCCAAAAACCACCCAAAATGAACAAGAAGTCAACAGTATGATGACGTTTCAGCCATCACAGGTCTTTCATCATCTCTAGTTTTCTCGGGTTGGTCATCATTTCCCCATTAAATGCTCATGTTTCTTGGTGATTCATCATGATGAATCCATATTTGGACCCACTTCATATACCCTCAGGTAAACCAATATATAGCCATGGAAAATCACCATGTTTAAATGTAAATCAACTATAAACAACCTTTTTCGATATGTATATATATATATATATACATTGTGTTGAATTACTAAAGGGTACTTGTTCCATGTGCTTTTTTTCCCCACCCCACCGCCTCCAACCCGCTTGGCCACAAAGGGCCACGGCGCTCCTTTTCGCAGGCCGACACCAACGATCCGTGGAAGACCAGGTTGCTTTCAAGACCCAGAACCTTCAAAGCTTGGGACACGCCCGGAGGACAACGAAAGGATGGGTAAAAGGATGGAAAAGGGGAACACACATTCTGTATGTGAAGCCTCTGGGTAGATGATGTTCTTCGAACTAACAAGACTAACATGTCATCATTTAAGTATATTTAAGTCATCCATGCTGAAAAAATGTCATTGATTGATATGATTTGAAGCATCAAGATCTATGATTGGATGACTGTTTCCATGAGGTACAACATTGTTTTGACATGAGGCAACAGATCCTTTGACCCGTGGTGAACCAACAATTGCCAGGCAAAATGCAATGCCGACCAGCAGAATGGCAACAGCCGGGACTGTGGTAAGGGTAACTGGATGGATTTCTGGTTGTGTACGCTCCCTCTGGTTCCATGTTAAGGTTCGAATGATGAGTCGACAAGGAAATCTCTGATTTCTCGGGTGTTCAAGCCCCTAAGAATCCCATGATGCTTTCACCTGGGTCCCAGTTTGTTCTGAATCATTTTTCGGGTCCCGAACCTGATTTGAGGCTCCATGGTGAGGTTCGATCTGCGCTTTCTCTTGGAAATCCCCATATTAGTTGGTGGGTTTTTTTTAGCAAAGTGTCTTCAAAAATATTGTCGTCTGAACCAAAATGAAGCAAGGATCATTTGATTTCCCCCCAAATGGTCCATTTTCGGGAAAACCTACAAATCATCTCACAGTAATCATCCTTACTGTAACCCCAATCCCAACCTGAACCAATCAACCCCAGATTTCCGAACATTTCCCACCTATGTTAGGCTATGTGACTATAAAAATCCACATGGTTTTCATTCACCCCCCCAGCAGCACCGTCACCGTCACCTGCAGCTCCAGCTGTAGCTGCAGCGCCAAGTCCCAGCGCTTTGCCTTCTCCACCGCGCTGCTGCAGGCGGCGAAGGACACCACCGTGGCTTCCTACGGCCGCGCCGGTGCCGGAGCCGGGTGGCGCCACGGAAAGGGTGGGTCGAAGCACCAAAAGGTGGGGATTTTGGGCCAGAAAGTCCCAAAGCATCACCCCCAACTTCGCCATATCGAGTTAGTTAGCTATATCACTTGTGAAATATCCGATATGATATGTCCCCATGCAATATCCTATTCATTGAAAGTGTCTATATCATTGCTATGGCACAGATATCATTCATGCTTGGTTTAGTCTCCATTTTTCCCATGGATTTTCCCATGAAAAATCCCCTGAGCCCGCATTTTCCCATGAAAAATCCCCTGGTGTTCATCATTTTCCCATGAATTTCCCATGAAAAAATGCCCTGCACCTGTTGCTTTCCTCGTAGCTCATCCAAGACCTGCAGCGCCCAGGGCCACCGGTAGCCCTTCTCGCACGCAGAGCTGGCCGCGTTGTGCGCCACCACAGAGGTTTCGAGGTGGCCGTCGAACCTGGTGGCGGCCACGCGGCCACAAAAAATATCTGGGGGAACCCAGGAAAAATTTGGAGTTCAACCAAGAGAAATGGCGGTGTTCAGCCATAAATCTGGATGTTGTTGCCAACAAAAAACTGGGGAAATTCAAAACTTCATCATAAATCTGGATGTTTAACCAACAAGAACATTTGGAATTTAGCAAGTTCGCCCGCAAAACTGACGATGTCACCAACCAAAACAATCGCATTTCCACCATTGAAGCAATCTGCGTTGCTATTCGCCCACCAAAGACATGGACTTCGGAGGGCCGAATCCCACCGGGACATTGAAACCGAGGGGCATTGATGAAAGTAGTGCCAAGGCCGCACACCACTGTCCGCACTTCTCCTACATGTAGGATGTTTGGGACCCGGAGGTGGACATCAAAATCAGCAAAGAAAATACAAACTCACGACATGTCGCTCCGGCATGAATTTGCATGGACCATTCCTCAGTTTTTTGGTATCACAATTCACTTAGGCACGATGTTTGCCGAATCCAAGTGTGACATTTACCATTGAGTTGTCTAAGAATATTAGTTGGCATATAAATATCAACAATCAACTTGCTTTGAATTTACATTCGCTAACATGATACTTACCGAAAAATAAGACTATGATGCTTATGAACGATGATGCATCACCCGTAAATTTGATACTGTATCTTTTTTTCTCACCATCGTTTTCTGTGAAATGTTACCATAACGATTCGCCCGGCTCCGCTGCGCTGATGCTGGCGGCGAAGCTCACCACGTCCACTTGCAGCGAGGCCTGGAAGAGCGCTAACAGCGAACTGCGGTTCGCGAACACCCGGTTCGCTTCACATCAAAACGGGTGCAAAAAATGGATATCGTTATCCAAATATATCCAAATATATCCAAATATATCCAAATAGATAAATTATAAAATCGATCGTCCAAATCTTAGTTGGTTCAAAAAATGTGTGGGAAGTTATAGCTTTTTGACCCCAGCCCACATGGGCAATTAACCTTTTTGAACATGTTCTTGGCGAGTGAATTTCAGGACTTAAGCAATATATATAAAGATTCACCGAGAGATCGCACGTAATATAGTTGGAATATCTTGGAATATGTTGGAATATTATCAACCTTTGATGAGTAAGTCCATTTACCAACATATATACCGATATGAATATATATGAATATATATATAGTTAGATATACATCTAAACAAGGATGGTTGACCGTTGATATGTTTTATAAAATTGTTTATTCAATTCATCGGATTTACGTTTGTATCCATGAAATCCCCAAAGCAATCGTAAAGGTAAACCATTTTAACCAAGGGAAAACGTCGCTGCTTGAAGCATAGCAAGCACTTGGATGTTGAAACTGGCAAGAAAACGGAATTTTAGCCAGCGAAAATGAGGATTGAAGGAACTGCCAAAAAAAAAAGTCGAAAGATTGGGAAATCGGGACAGAAGGCAGCAGGCCACATGAATTGGTGAACCGGCCTGGATGCCAAGAACAATGGAGATTGTTTCACAACTATATCTAATACCCTCCGGAGAATTGCCTTATGCGAATTTTACCACCAGTGTATAAGGTAAAAAGGTAATTTACCAGTAAATTTGCCAAAACAATGGGTGATACCCTTAGTGATACCCTTATTCATGGCAATTTACCAATGTCTATGGTGGATCTATTGGGTCCAAAGTCAGTAAGATCGGTGGAGTCGGAGCCATCCACGGATTTTTGGAACCCAAGGATGGTGCCCGGGTAACCGTTCCAAACCCCAACGGATGATCATTGGATTTTCCCATTCAAATTGCCACTTATATAGGGTGATTCACCCTATTTTTGTGATTTTTTGGGACAAGCCATAATATCATTGCTGATTTATATCACCATTAGTGACGCTTTGCTGCCAAATGTCATATGGTTGGTGAGTTATATTCAAATCATATCCTATATATATACATATATATATAATATCTTCATTTAGACATAGATTCGTTTCACATGCCATATCCCCATTAGAATCCCGTTTCATATGGGTTCAGGAAATGGTTCAGTTTAGTGTACATCCAAAAACACTTATCCCGTGACAGTTCCAGTTTTCCCCATGAAAACTTGTCATGGGAAAACTGGCACGGCTGTACTCAATGGATTGCTTTTTACGCTTAAAATCTCTGGAAAACTCATCCATATTTCATCCATATTTCATCCATATGTCATCCATATTTCATCCATAGTTCATCCATATATCATCCATATATCATCCATATTTCATCTGGGAAAATGCTGGAAAATCCGGCGCCAGTTTCCGATCCTTCGCCATCCTCAGCATCTCCAAGGCCAGGAGCCACTTGTTACCCTTCTCGCAGGCACTAGAGGCTGCCTTGGAGGAGGGGATGCCGTTTTTTTTTACTGGATGAAAATTACCGTTGATACTTAACTACTTAACATTAATTGTGTATGTTCTCTATTTGACTAAAATGTATATTGGATTAGAATTATATGACATTACCTTACATTGTGCAAGCTGGAAATGACCATGTTTAGTGGGTAACTAGTGGGTAAACAATGGTGAATATAGGTAGATAATCCATTTTTTAGGGCCATGTTCATAGTTATATGAACAATTACCAGAGGGTATCATGGATAGTTCAGGGGTTTTGGGGTAAAAACCTCTTTTTTTTAACACTAAACGACCAAGGCACATTGTAGCTGATCAAGTCCAATGGAAGCCTCTGGGCAGAGGCTGCACTGTCCAAGGTCTGGAAACAGGTTCAGGTACCCGCATCAAAAATTACAGCTACGGTACTACCGGTTCAAAATGACATCTACGAAGTTGTGTGAATCTAACCGTTAGCATTCTTGAAGTTGGAAAAAACGACTCATGGTTGTGAAAATTCCTGGCTGGCTGGGCAACCATTTCATGTGCCCCAAATTCCATGACTCGATTTGAGGAAGCAAAAATTCCAGGAAACCATGGATGCTTTCACCATCAAGTCTAGGATGTAAACCATCTGGTTAATGTGGGGCATTTCAATAGTTTGAGATGATACGGGGGAATAGGGCTACTCCTAAATCATCTATTTCAACATAGGATTTTCTATTGTAAACCATCCAGCGAGCTTGGGGTACCCCCAGGACTCAGGAAACCCCAAAAAAATCGAGATTTTTCAGTGAACAATCGCCAGGTGAGGACACCAACTATATTCCAAGTAGTCCCGAAAATTATCCCCATGATATTCCATCACATTGCCATGATTGCTGAAAAAATCCCAAGACATCACTTCTGGTTTATAAATCACCCGCCCTGATCATAATTGGGGAAGGAACGCCATTTGTTAAGAGTTGAGACATCAATCAATTCCGCAACACACAGATTTTTGTTGTCAAGTTAGGTTAGGATTATGAAAATCTATGAAAATCTACTAGGGATTCAGTTGGTGCCATTATGCCAACTTTTTTGTTATAACGGCTACCCCCAGTCTCTACCTCCCCAGCGCCGCAACGCGGCGCACCTCCAATCCTCGGCCAGCTGCAACAAGCTCAGCGCACCGCGCCAGAGCCCCGCCTTTTCGAAGCTGCTGAGGCAACCTCCCAGGCCCGAACGACCATGGGTTTTGCGGAAAATCTACGGTGGTTGAATGATCGGTTCATGGTTGTTTAATGGTGGTTTCATGATGGTTTAATGATGGTTTAATGGGATTCAGAAAAGATTGGTGTTCCAAGTTGAAACATCTATGAAAACATGGTGATGATCATCAATTTGATTGGGGGGTCCGGATGTTTTTGCTTTAATTAATCTTAAACCAATCCAATGAGGGTATACATAATATATACACATATATGAGCTATGGTCAATACTCATGGTTAATAACCATTAATAGGGGCTAGTCATCCAATGGTTCATAGGGATTTATAATAACCATTATAAGGATCCTTATTATGGATGGGATGACCATCAACCATATAGTGAGTATTGACCATGGCTCATATATTGTATAGTTGTTGTACCCCTATTGGAGGATTGTAATCCCTGTATGTATGACAAAATTTACAGCACAGCTGCAAACGGGGTGGCATGATCTTGCAATTTTGGGGACCTTAAAATAGAGGCTGTCAGGATATGTTTCTTGACTATACCAAATACCTGTCACAAAACTATTCGTGGTTCCCTTTGTGGTAGACAGACACAGCAATATCCAAAAGCAAATGTCTGCAACACTCTTGAGATTGGTAAATGAAACTAGAGTTTCCATCGCTAGTATTCTAATTCAATACTTAGTATTTCCCTACCTGCTATTGAAAAATCATCCGCAATTGACAGGAATGTTCCCTTGCCAGGCTAAACTGATGGCTAGTAACATGCGCACTACTTGGGTGACCCAAGCAAAAAAAACAATCCCCAGAAACAACACCCTCAAGAACAAAGGACTCCTGTAAACTCCCATGAACAAATCAGGTCCACCAGGCTTTCTGGTGCGTGTTTACGATTGGGGGGAAGGGACATCCGTATCTCTTGCCGGTCCCAGATTGGCAACGGTTGAATCTACCCAGTCTATGGGGACCCGGCTTCATGGAAGGCCTATATAACCTCACCAACCATGGGGTGAGAAAGGCTGAAGCCCCATGATGGTGTACCCTCTGGTGAACTAACATAGCCCTGGAAATGAAAAGTTGCTATTATATAGGTAAATCATCTATAAATAACCGATGTTTTATAGTTATGGTGTATTGCCGCTCCCAGCTAAGGCTCCCAGCTATTCACCGCTGCAATGTCCTCGCTTCGCGCCCGCCAACGAAGCTCCTGAGACTTCGACTGCGCAAGGGCTGCAGGAAAAATGGGGATTTCACCAGTTCATTGTCAAATCGTGATATGAATGCAGTAGATAGATATAAGAATTACAGTATACCATATACCAGTAGTTATATATATATACATTAAACCCAATGTCAATGGATTGGTTTTCTTGACAAATCTTCACCGGAAACCATGGTTGTTACCACAAAATCTTCAGCGGGGCGTCCAAAAATGTTCCATTTCTGGCGAGTCATCGTGGGTGGTTGAATAGTATCCACTATCGGATTGTTGATACAATGTTGATACCATTTCTAGTGGATTTTCCCATCAAAAATGGTGATTTTCCATAGTTATGTTAGTTTACCAGAGGGTACCCTTTTTTGGGAATCCAGAATAGTTCAATAGTTCAAAGCCATCAAAAAATGGAAAGTGAAATACGAAGAAAGACGAATTTTGTGAGTCAATTGGTACCCCATTCTGGAGCCGTAGCAACAGAAAAACGGCACAACTACAGCACAGCATTGGGAGGTTTAACGTGTTTTCTTTGCCAGATTCCAGCATTCTAGAAGAAAATCCACCCCAAGTGTGGTTTAAAAAAAAAGGCCGGCGTTGATGACCAACCAAAATTCAGATGACCTACCAGATCGCATCCCTTGGCATCAAAAAACGGCTTCCATCGTCCTCCAGAAGATGGAGCCCCTTTTCCCAGAACGCCTTGGTCTGAAGACCAATCCAGCTGGCGCTGTAACTCTTGATGTCCACCTTCCAGGAGATTTCGGGTCGCTTCGAAACTAACAGTTCGCTATTGAAAATGGCCATTTCTCGTGGAATTACCCATTGATAGCATGGTGGATCTTTCCATCGCGAACTGTAATGTTCTTCCCCCCCCAGTTGTGGTCACCTTTAGTATGTGAAAATGTGGGAAAAATGGTCACCACCGATGGGAAAATTTGGGTCCCCAAGAGTTGAACAGTGGTGGATCTTCCCTTTCCATGTTTTTTTTTCATCGAGAAACACACCCGACTAGTCTATTCTTTCGGAGTTAACAAAAATACATGGAAAACATACCAGGAAAGTTAACAAATATCTATGCAACATTCGGAGTTAACAAAAATACCAGGAAAACGAAGAAAAGATATGAAAAACCATGCAAAAAACACCCCAAGGAAGTGATCTACAAATAGTTCTTGCAGTACCCAGTGGGTAGAAGGCTAGCAAGGGTCCACCTGCGAAATGCTGTGGGTCTACATGGTGTTCACCAAAATTTAAGACCAGCAAGTCGATAGGCATCAAGAGCTCGCACGTAGATATGTGTGTATCATATGAAGATACTAACTGCTGATGTCACCCATTGTTTCCATGACTTGTCATAAGCATGATGCATTGACATGTCAACTTTCAATTTGCACCAATTTGCATATCCATTCATGCAGCTGTCCATAGCTGCCCCTTTGAGACTCAAGAACGCAACTTGGCAGAAAGGCCGAAGGTTCGTGCTGTGGGAGGAGCTGGAAGGGCACAAATCGAGAAGAGTAACAAGTTTATCCATTTCTACATAGCCGAACCTACTTGACTACGTCAGTAGGTTATGAGCCCAACGGCTTGAATTGGGAAAAGACATGGCAAACATGCAAAGGAGAAGAAGAGCAACTAGAGAAGAGTTGAACCAAGGTGAGGCTGAGATGCAACAAGCGCAAGAACGCATGCAAAGAGAGGCAGAGGTTAGAGGTGAACTTCCGCTTGAGGATCAACAAAGTGTAGGAGGTGGAAGGGATCAGGGAGCTGAAGGTGTAAGTGCACCACCAATAGAAGATGGTAGTTTGGAGAATTCTCAAGGAACCCCCAAAGCTAGTCCATCCGGTGCCCATCCAGTTTCCGGGTCAGCAGTCCGTCCACCGACAATGCCTCCAGTGGATCCGCCAGAAGTTCCATCGGAGGACCAAGCGTCAGCAGGCATCAAGACCCCTGCAGACACCAAGGACAGATCTAAGGAAAGTGCAGGTGGCTCTCAGCAGAAAGTGTCACCGAGCGAGCGTTTGGGAACTGCAGTGGAGGGGGACAGAGATAGAAGTGTAGGGTCGTTAGTTGAGCCACTCTTCACTCCTGAACAGGTTCAACATTTCACTGGATTGTTTTCGCAAGCACCATGGCTGTACACACAACCTCGATCAGCATTTTCTCCATTTTTGCAGCGTCCACAGTTTTTAGAACAAGAGGAGCTCAGAGCTAGAGAAGCATCTGAGAACAGAGATCAAGAAATGGAGAGGTTGAAAGAGCGTTTGATGCAAGATCAACTAGAAAGAGAAGAAATGAGACAGTCCATGAAATTCCTGTTTGAGGAGAATCGTAGGCTGATGCAAAAGTTGGAAGCTCAGGAGAAGCAGAAAGAAGCTGATCCGAAGTTTTCGACACCAGAAGAGGATCCGCGAAAGTTGAAGCAGGCTGGAGACCCCCAAAAGGAGGCTGAGATACCCCCCGAAGTCAGGCTGCAGACCCCCAAAAGGAGGCTGAGATGTTTCCCCGAAGTCAGGCTGCAGACCCCCAAAGGGAAGCCCGAAGCTCTTATAAGGAGGCCGGAGACCACCAAAGAGAAGCCCGAAGCTTTTCCAAGGAGGCTGCAGACCCCCAAAGTGAAGCGGTCATGTTTCCATGGAGGTTTGGAAGTGAAGAACAGCGCCATCCTGGCCAAGAAGGAACAGGACAGAAGGAGTCAAGCAGTAGTGAAAGCTTTGCAGAGCGATCGCTTGGCTTCATGGCACTGATGATGGAGTCGATGAAGGAAATGCAAAAGAAGATGCTGGAGCCACGAGAGGAGGCTGGAATGGTCCGAGGTGTGGAAGTGGTTCGGACTGGTGTCATGGAGTTGCCAGCCCTTCAACAATGCAATCCAGCACAAGGACCTCTACAACTAGGAGATTGGTTGTTGATGATCGAACCAGTTGCTGCTGACATGTCCACCACAAGCCAAGAATGGTGGGGCGAAATGACCAAGGCAGTTGAGACTTGGTATCAGCAGCATATGTCAATGAATCCTTTGGATCGAATCTCTCATGAAGTCAAGCCCCCTCCTCAGCTGGTTCAAGATCGGTGGCAAAGACTGGAAAGGAGGATGTCAACTATGCTTCTTCAGGCAGTACCAGAAGGGGTGCGGGATGAATTGGTGGCTGGACGAAAAGTTGGAGTGTTCAGCATCCTCACACACCTCTTCCTCACCTACTGTCCTGGGGGAGTCATGGAGAAACAGATGCTTTTGCGCAACTTGGAGGAGCCACCGGAAGTATCCCAGTTGGTTGAAGCACCAGCAGCATTGAGGAAGTGGCTGAGGTGGAAAACACGAACAGTGGAGATAGGGGCGGTGGTGCCAGATGCGGCATTACTTCTCAAGGGTTTGAACAAGATGACAAGAAAGGTTTTAGAAAGCCACAAAGACTTGCAGTTTCGCATACAGCTGGCGAGATCAAGCCTTGGAGTTGATACATCTCCCACTGAGCTGACCGTCAGCCGGTTTGCCACCCATCTCTTGGCCGAATTGGACCAGGTTGCTTTGACCGAAAAACGTTCTGGAGGAGCTCCCAAAGTTGAAGGTCCAAAGCTGAAGTCCCTGGAAACAGAGAAGCAAGACAAAGGAAAAGGTAAGGGTCAAGAACGAGGTCAAGAAGAAGGTCAAGGCAGGCCGAGGTGCAAGTTTTACATGTCAGATGGAGGATGCAAGAAGGGAAAGCTGTGCGGGTTTTCGCACGACTTCAAGGATGAGAAGAAGAGGTGCTGGACTTGTGGAGCAGTTGATCACTTCTCCCCAAACTGCAGTCGTCCAAAAGGCTCTACAGATGGAAGTCCAACAAGGGCGAGGGTTCTGAAGACAGAAGGCGAAGGAAAAGGAGGAGTTCAGAAGGATGTGGAAAGCTCAAGCGTAGCAGGAAGTGAGGCAAGCATCAAGGAGTTGATGGAGGAAGCCAGTAAGATGTTGAAAAGTCTTACCAGCGCAAACACCACATCCAGCAGCTCAACAACAACAGCATCAACAAGCAGAGAAGAAGAAGGAAAGGAAGAAGTGATGGATCGGCTGCAGCAGCAGCTGAATGCGTTGAGGCTGAAGACATTGAGATTGAGAAGGTTGGCAGGTGGAGGAGTGCAGGGACTGTTGGACTCTGGCGCGACAAATCCACTACGACCACTGAAGCCGGGGGAGGAGACCACCAGCTACCGTCAAGTTGAAGTGGCGTTGGCCAATGGTGGAAAGACTCAACTGGCGATCACCCGTGGAGGCACACTGGTGAGTCCTGATTTGGACATTGAGCCGATCGTTCCGATGGGCTTGCTGATTGGCGTTCTGGGCTGCAAAGCTACATGGGAAGAGGGTGGAATCACAGTCATCCATCCAAAGATTGGCAAGCTGCCGATCAAACAAAGTGAAGGATGCCCACAGGTATCACGTCAGTTGGCTCTTCAGCTCATTGAGGAGATTGAGGACAAAAAGCTATGCATTGGCGAGGTGGCATCCGATTTCACCAAAGAAGAGGCATGGTTGGAAAGGCTGATCAAAGAACACCCAGTGCTGTCTTCTTTGCCGTCTTGGATTCAAGAAGGCCTCAAATGCGAAGTTGGAGAATGGAATCACCTACCATGCAACAAAAGGATGAGAAAACGAATGAAGCGAGATGGCTATCTTCTTCATCTGTTTGCGGGCCCTGATCAAGGCTTCACACTTCATCGAGCTTGGCATCAAGTCGGAGGAGAAGGTTGGCAGTTGTTAGAAGTTGATGTAGAAAGAGGAGAAGAACAAAATCTTTTGAAGTCCAAGCTCTATGGGGGGCTGATGAGGACGGCATTAGAAGGGAAGATTCGAGCCATCATTGGAGGCCCGAACTGTCGAACAAGAAGTGTGCTCAGGCACATCCCAGTTGAAGGACATCCAGAAGCTCCGCGACCAGTGAGGCAGTGGGGTGGAGGAGAGTTTGGAAAGAAGGATCTGACAGATCAAGAACGAGAACAAGTCAGAGGAGATGACCTGCTGATGTGGAGGATGCTCTTTCTGCAGATGGTGTCAACATATGCAGCAAGAGCGAGAGGAGCAACGAAAGATCCGTTGTTCAGTTTGGAACAACCTGCCAGTCCAAAGAGCTACAAGCCAGAGGTTGTGAGCTTTTGGGATACAAAGGAATGGCACAAGCTGAAGAAGGAGTTTGGATGGTTTGAGGAGACGTTCGAACAAGGAAGTCTTGGAGGAAAGTCACCAAAGCCGACGACCTTTGGAGGTTCCCTCAAGCTCACGGTGGAGGAGTACAAGACTGGCGATCGACGTCACCCAGAAAGAGTGAAAAGCTCAAAGGAGTTGTCAAGATGGCCTCCAGCATTGATGAGGATGCTGGCGACCGAGTTGATGAAGCAGGTCTACAAGATGGATCCAAAGATCAAACAGCTCTCTTGGCAGGAGCACATAGCATGTGGGCACATCCCATACAGAAGAGATTGCAGGGTGTGCCAAGAAACAAATCAACACTGCGCGCCACACAGAAAGACGCGCCACGTGATTGGAGGAGTGCTCTCCATCGACACGGCAGGCCCTTTGATTGGTGCCTACGACCAAGGAGGAGGAATGGCAAGGTACTTCTTGGTGGGAGCATTGACATGGAGGGTGCCAAAAGGTCTGGAGAAGTTGAAGCAGCCGGCACAAGAGCCCTTAGAAGGAGATGAGCCGAAGATCGAAGACAAAGAAGATGTAGAAGAAGAGGCCCTGGAGGATGGAATCTTTGGCGATTTGCCACCAATGGGTGCTGACAACAATCAGGCACCAGGCGGTGAGTTGGCGGCTGAGTTGGGGTTGGGTGGAGGAGACCCAGTCCGCCTCGCTGCCCCGCCGCGGAGCGATGATGTGGCTGAGTTGGGGTTGGGTGGAGGAGACCCAGTCCGCCTCGCTGCACCGCTCCCGGGTGAAGCTGCCGCTGAGTTGGGGTTGGGTGGAGGAGACCCAGTCCGCCTCGTGGCGCCACCCGAAGAAAAAGGGCCAGAAGACCTTGAAGAAACAACTGAGGTGAGGGTATTCAGGTTAGCCCTACCCATGATCACCAAAACGGCCCGAGAAGTGAGCGCGACAGCTATGGAGTTTGTGCTGCGGCTCCGGGCGGACGGCTTCCACATAGGCCGAATTCACTGCGACAGAGGCCATGAGTTTGAAGGAGCTTTCAAAAGGTGGGCTAGAAGCAGAGGCATCTACGTCACCAAGACAGCAGGAGACGATCCACAGGGAAACGGACGCGCCGAAGTAGCAGTGAAGGCCATCAAGTCCCAAATTAGGAGGACACTACGACAAGCAGGCCTTGATTCAGCACATTGGCCTTGGGCTCTGCGCTATGTGGATGAGCTCAACCGGTGTGTGAGGAAGGGCATTCAACCAAGCTGGCCCCCATTTTACCAAGAAGTCAGAGTCAAGAAAAGAACATGGAGAAGAGGAGCCTTCGAACCAGTGGTCGAGCGTGTCCACTACCTGTGCCCCTCGACAGAGGATCATGGGCACTGGGTCCAAAAGCAGGGAGAACCTCCACGAGTCACCAAGTTCATCATGGAGAAGACCACAGAGCCGGTTGAAGAAGGCGCATGGATAGCGCTTGAAGGACGCATAGTGGATCCATGGAGCACAAGAAGAAGGCTGAGAGGAAAGACTGCGGTGAGGAGGGTTCATCCTACTTTGGATCAAGAAGGCGAAGATTCAGAAACAGAGAAAAAGAAAGAAGAGGTGAAACAGATCTATGCAGTGATTGAGGAGGAGATGAGAGGAATCGTGGATGAAGATCCAGAAGTTGCATCTGGAATCATACAGGTTGTTGCAAAGCTGCGGAAGATTGCAACAGCGATGGAGGAGTCAGAAGAAGTACTCCAAACGAAGATCATTTCACCCAAGGAGGTTTCAAGAAAGTGGGGGGAATGGTTGGAATCTGTGGACAGCGAAGTTCAGTCGCTGACAAAAGACAAGCAGGCCCTCAAAGAGCTGACAGCAGAAGAACATGAGGAGCTGAAGCAACAGGCAGAGAGAGAAGGACGGCGGGTAGAATATATACCGTCGAAGTTGGTCCATGTGGTGAAGGCAGGAGAAAAAGGGGGGAAAAAGAAAACAAGATGGGTTGTGTGCGGGAATTTTGAAGAAAAGAAAGAAGGAGAAGAGAACTACAGCGGAGGAGCTGATGCAACAGCTTTTCGCATTCTCATTTGGTGCTGCGGGAAGTTTCAATGGAGGGCTCAAATCATTGACGTGAGAACAGCATTTTTGAATGCTGATTTGGAACTCACCGAGGAAGAGAACCTTTCGTTGATTCGTCCTCCACACATCATGATTGAGAAGGGCTATCTCGCACCCAACACCGTCTATCTCCCTGTCAAAGCGATTTATGGTTTTCGCAGGTCACCAAGATTGTGGGGGAGGCATCGAGATCATCGTATGCACCAGTTTGTCATCAAGGCGAAAAAAGAAGGAAAGAACATCGAGGTCAAGCTCTTTCAAATGGGATCTGAACCCAATCTTTGGAAAGTTGTGCAGGTCATGGGGGAGGAAGAGGATGAGCTGGCTTCTTTGTCCAATGGCAGAATCCTTGGACTGGTGATGACTTACGTTGATGATGTCTTCATCGCTGCAGAAGGCGATCTGGTGGAAGCCATCACTGCGAAGTTTCAAGAAACATGGACGACATCCAATCCAGAGGAGGTGTCAGAAAAGCCAACACGCTTTCTAGGCATGGAGGTGGAAAAGATCTGGTCTGAAGAGAGAGAGCGCTCTGAGTGGTTTGTAACTCAGAGTGGTTACATCAAAGACTTGCTTGAAAGATATGATCAAGGAAAAGAAGAAAAAGAAAAGAGGATTCGAAAGATTCCAATCTCAAGGGATCTTGCCATCATGGAGGAGGATTCACAACCTCCAGATCTCAAACGAGTTCGCCAATGTCAACGCGAAGTTGGCGAGCTGCTGTGGCTGGTGACGAGAACACGTCCCGACATCATGTACACCATTTCACGCATGGGGGCACATGTCACAAAGTCCACAGTCAAAGTTTTGGAGGCAGCAGAACAAACAAGAGACTATTTGAGGGGAACATGGGATCAAGGTTTGAAGTTTGAAGAAGGAAAAGAGAAGGAGGTGGTCATACAAGTTTGGTCAGATGCATCGTTTGCACCAGAAGGAGAAGAATCACATGGCTGCTTCACAGTCATGGTAAACGACTCTGCATTGCTGTGGCGCTCGGGGCGTCAAGCCTCAATCACCTTATCCACAGCTGAAGCAGAGTTGAACGAAATCATCGAGGCCATGAATGCAGGAGAATCAGTGGCCACCATCCTGTATGAGTTGTTTGATGATGTGAAAAAGATTGCCTGGTCAGACAGCCAGTCAGCTTTGTCCATCTTGTCAAGTGAGGGCGGGAGCTGGCGCACACGCCATCTTCGAATGAGGGCATCATATGCCCGGCAGGCAGTCCTTTCCGGGGATTGGGCAGTTGGTCATGTCCCAGGCGAGGAGCTGAATGCCGATTTGGGCACAAAGGCGCTGTCTTCCAACCGCATTGACAAGCTCAAGGGTTTGCTGGGCATGGCACAAAGACCAGGTGAATCAAAAGAAGAAAAAGAAACGAAGAAGGAAGTTGGAGAAGATCAAAAAGAGAAGGCATCAAATGCGTTCAAAGTATCTCAAGCCGCCACTGCAGTCAAGCTGATCACTTTGGCTGCCATGATTTCTGTTGGGAAATCAGAAGAAGATGAGGAGGAAGAACATGGAGCGAAAGAACTCAAAGTAATGATGGTTCTCTTCGCCATCGCCATTGTCCTGTTGACCTTGTTGGGTCAGATTGTGTGGAAGGTAGGAGTAGGAAAGCTTCGCCAGGTCATCAAAGATCAATCTGAAGGAGCCGACCGAAGTCTCCCTGCACAAGGAGATCAAACAGGGGTTCAACAACGAGCCCGAGAAGCAGTCCGTGGCACAGGGGGTGAGCAGGGGTCGAGCGGCTCATCTGAGCCCTTGGTCCGCCTCCCTCCTTCGGTCCGGGTGGAAGAGGAAAACACCACCCGACGGGTTGAGATGGGGTTGGATCAAGGAAATCCAGTCCGCCTCCCTGTCCCCGATGGAGAGACATCAAGCTCCTCGGGTGGGCCGAGCCCGGCTGCTGGAAGCATGGAAGCTCGAATTGAAGAAGAGCTGATCAGAATCATCCAAGAAGAAGCAGAAATGTGGAGAGAAATTCGACAGACTCCGCTACCACCAGTGATCATCGAAGAAGTGGAGGAGAACGATGCAGAAGGACTGCGATTCAACGTTCTTCGAACAACGTATGGTGTGGTATACCACAGTGATCGATCCTGCAGGCATCTACAAGGTCCACGAGTCGGACAGCCCCGACCATTCAAATGGTGTCAGGTTTGCAGAAGGGTTGCCTTGCAAACGAGGGGAAGGCCACCACCAGGGACTTCACTCTATCTTTCTGTAACTGGCACCGCAGCACGCTCAGATGAACGATGCCCATGGATCAGAGAAGGAAAATTGACCCCGTTCTGTCAAACGTGCCGAGAACGAGAGGGGTAGTTTGCGCCACGGATTGAAAAATCCTTACGAATTTTCAATGGGGGAGTGCTGATGTCACCCATTGTTTCCATGACTTGTCATAAGCATGATGCATTGACATGTCAACTTTCAATTTGCACCAATTTGCATATCCATTCATGCAGCTGTCCATAGCTGCCCCTTTGAGACTCAAGAACGCAACTTGGCAGAAAGGCCGAAGGTTCGTGCTGTGGGAGGAGCTGGAAGGGCACAAATCGAGAAGAGTAACAAGTTTATCCATTTCTACATAGCCGAACCTACTTGACTACGTCAGTACTAACAATGACCAAAATGTGTTTTTTTGGGGTCTGGAATTTGACCCTGACCCACGACTTTTCCGATCTTTTCAGACATAGATACTGATCTGAAACAGGTTGATGTCAGACCAGCCACGAATTGCAACAAAATCTTTGTAGGATTGGGGTGATCTGCCGTCTGCCAATCTGGTGGTTGCAGGACAGCGAAAAAATTGCCTCTGCAGGGCAATCAATTGAGTGTTGACTCTGTTGACTAGTTGACTATCCAGTTTTGGCCTCATGAAAATCACTAGTAATCACTATTAATCCCCATGAAAATCACCACTCATCAGTTTGTTTTCCCATGCAGATAAGCTACCATTTTTCAGACCGCTTAAATGTCCAATGTTCCTCACCGGACTAGTGGTGCACCTCCACCAAGTCTCGCCAAAGGAAACTCAACAACAAGGGGGCGTAGCCTCGGTGAAGTCAAATGACTCAGATTTTTTCCGACCAGTTCGCAGTGATATGCTGAATGTGACATTCCGGGATTTTAATCGAGTTCATGGATGATATTGACCCGAAATCAAAGAATGAGACAAATTACGAAAAAATACGTTTGATTCATTTGATGAACCAAAATTTCACAAACTCCAACTGGTGATGTTCGAAATCAAATTGAGTGGTTGGTAATGACTCCACCATGATTCCACAGGTGGAAATTGGCGCCTAATATAAGCTCCGGGTTCCCTAACAGGTTCCCTCCACATATTTCAAGAGATCCACACCCTGATAACTTCCCCGTTCCCATTTGTTTGGAAACTTTCACTGCTGAGTTCATGTTGCTGATGCATCAAAAGTTGGGGGAACCAACTTTGATAAACTGAATCTACGAAATATCATAAAACCATTTGAACAAATGTTCACTATTGTTTGTAATTGTAGCATTCACCCGGTACCGCACCCTCCCCATCCCTAAGTTTCATCAGAACTTTTCTGCATCAAATGTTTATGTCAATCATGGTTTTTCATAGCTCAGTAACCATCAACCATGAATCATTGGAATGATTCATAATGGGGATGATACTTTATTACTGGGGTTGGTTCACAACGTGATGATATATCATATCATATTTGATGATTATTATGTCATCATATATGTTTCTATTGAAAATTATGGCGACTTGGGGATCCCCCATTGCAAGAAACCCCTAATCCATGGCTTATTATATGTTCCTCAACTGGGTTTCCTAAAACGACCCCCAAATCATGCAAAAATTTCATTAGACCATGGATGATATAAGTTCCACTATGTCATCCAATTATGATAAATTCCGAGAAATATTTCCCAATATGTCCCATCTATTTCCGCATTCTATTATATTATAATATATATATATAATGTAGTATACAAATTATATTAATGTTCCATGGGATATAAGTTCCACATAGTTCCACACACTACCATCCAATGACATATTCATGATAGTCTGGTGTTATGAGATTCCTTTCAGCCACAGCCCCATATACCCCAAAATGCATATCATCATACCAAAAATGCATATCAAAAATGGACATCAAACTACTACCTTGAATATAAATGCCTATCAGCTATGGGTTTGGGTTGTGACCATCACTACTGCCAGCCTGTCAGTACGTGTTTTTCATCAGCCATATTTACCCAACCTGATACCACTGAAGGAATCTCAGTAGAGCTTGGCTAAGTCAAGTTCGGTTTGTGTTTTGCGTTGCTGTTAGTCAGTAATAAGTCTGGTGGATAATGGTGCTTAATGGTGGTCAAAAAAAGTGGTGAGTTAATAATGCTATATAACCAATCATGGTGGAGTATTAACCAATTAAGCTATATAATGCTATATACCCAATTGGTGTTATAACCACTAATAACTCACCAATCATCCGGGATCAATTATATTATAATATATAGTATACAAATACACAGTATACAAATACACAGTATACAAATTATATATTTTCCATGGGATATAAGTTCCACTATTCACTATACCATCTAATGATATATTCCCCAATCATCCGGGATCAAGGGATGATTGCTGAGCCACTCCACTCCGCCCCTCGGCTCACTCCCGCCATGGCGGCGCTGCGCGCCACCTGGTCCGGCTGCACCGCGCGGTGCACCAGCGCCGCGTCCTGCCGGGGCACAACGCAACGCATTGAACGGCGGCGGAAAGGAAAACGGGGGGAAAGACCGGCCAAAATGGTGGGTGTATGTGGGTTGAACATGGTTGAACCTGGTTTTGTTCTCGAGAAATCGATTTTTTTGAGCAATTGAAATGTGTATAAATGTATGATCTTTGAAGCTAAATGGCTGACTGTTTCACAAATCGAATTGATTCACCAAAATGAATGGGTTCACCAAGCAAACTGGGGGATAATACCATTACTTAAAAGCCAAAACAAACGTTATATAATGCAGCAAAAGAGGGCTGACCAAGCGAAAGTACGAACTATGCCCGATGAGATGAAAAGCCAACATGATCTGCTAAAATGTGGGTGGGAAGCCTAGAATTACTTTGAACAATGCCTTTCCGCGCCTTGATTCCACAAAAAAGATCCGAAAAGTCTTTCAAGTCTTGTCATATCTTCAGCCAAAATTCTCCCTCTTCATCCACTTGTCTCCATTTCAAGTTTTTTCCATGCTTTCCTCCGCAACCAACAGCACCAGCCCCGGCTTTCCCCCTGGATCTCCAGCATTTCAAGTCCCTCGCGCCATAACACGCGCCGGCCCAGGCTGGCGATCGCAGCTGAAGCCTCCAACAACTCACGCGGCACATAGTCCTGGCGATTTCTGGTGGATTTTCCAGCAAAACAAACAAGGGAAAATTGAAGGTTTTACTAACGAAATTGATGGTTTTACCAACCAAACTGGTGATTTCTAGATTGTTTATGTTAGCTACCTTGGTTGAAATAAATTAGCCATGTTGGGTGCATGGTAATACATTGAACGAACCTTAAACTAGTGATACCAGTCCCTCGGACTCTAGGCTTTGCTGCTGCTACGTTGCAATGCGGCAACGCGGTTGCGTTACTTGCTGTTTCTGCTGCCACGTAAAACCAAACTTTTGCTGTTGCTATGCTGAAGAAAATATATAGCAAAGAGTGGGATAAGTCAGATCCACGAATCCACGAATCCATGATCTTTAAGTAACCCAATTTTTTTCAGGACATAATATGGGTTTAAATATCTTTGAAAAAATAAAGTTCGAAGATACGATCAAACCTTAAATTTCAGGACGAGAAAAACCTTTCACTGCAGTGAAACGACGAGTGAATTGTTCCTGAAGATGGCCGCAAAAAGCAGGCCGTCGATCGGGCACCAATTTGAATTCTAGTTGGTAATTGTATAGTTGGTCTTATTGGAATATAGTTGTTGCTGGACAATCGGTTTATAGTTATCATATGTCATCGATCTGGATAGCGGCTAGCGGATGGAATAGTAAAAAAAAACAACCTGACATGTTTGGACATTCCTTGGGATAGCATACCCTCTGGTAATTTAAAGTAGCTATTGAAAATGGCCATTTATAGTGGATTTACCCATTAAAAATGGTGATTTTCCATAGCTACGTTAAATTACCAGAGGGTAATGATCTTTCCTTTCCTGGGTTTTCATGAGCTGCAAATCCTGGATTTGATGTGGGTCCTGGTGATCTAGTCATGGTACACTGGACGTTCGACCCTCGATGCTGTCTCTATAAAACTCCGGGGAAGGGATTGCTGTCTCCAGATTACCATGGCTTTATTAACATCCAGATTCTCCATGTTGCTTTGACATCTGCATGTTGGGTGAAACCAATGCATTGGTGGCTTTCTTCCATCATTGAAATCCCTTTTCCTGGTGGTTGAATCAGAATGTGGGATCCATATATCATCCCAGCAGTACCCAGATTTCAACCCTCCAGTCCACCAGTCTTGGAGATGGTTTACTAGTTTTGTCATCAAACATGGCAATGGAAAATCCATGAAATAGAAACCTTCATCTAGGCCCCTGGGTTGTTGAATTTGTTTTATTCACTATATTATATATATATATTACAACTACATATCATGAAGATTCATGAAGCATTATATATTCACCACCATTAATCACTAGAAAAATCACCACTAAATGATGTTTGTGGAACCCCCCTCGACCGGCCAACTCCGGACTGATCCGCGCCTGGCGCGCCGCCATTCGCCCTTTTTGCCCGTCGTTGTTTCCGCCATGGGAAGCACAGAAGCCGCGGCCAGTGGCTCGACCGCCACCGGGATCCAAAAAAACCAGGGCAGTCCTGGACCAGGACTTCCGAGCAGATTCAAGTCGTTCCTGGTGGTTTTGGTGATGGAAACTGGTCAATGTCTAGTTATCTGGACGTTTTTTCAATGGAAACTTGAAATTGGACATCTGTTTGTCTGTTTGTCAATAGCTGGTTTGATGTGTTTCTTTCAGCCTCAGTCTGACAACATGAGTGACATACTGTGAAGTCTGCAGTGACCACATGAGTTCGGTGCTCCTCAAAAACCACCTGGATTTTCAGGTGTACATCCTTCACGACGCCCGGAAGTGTTGTTTTTGACAGACTCGATGTCTGCAGCAAAAATTGCATGTTCATGTGCTTTCCGAAAGCGACCCAAACCTTCCGGTCACTTGTGCAGGCTGAGTTGACAAAAGGATTTTGGACGGCTCCTACCTAAACTTGTTTAGGACCTAAACAAGCAGCTGAAACCTGACTTGAATCATCCATGGCAACCCAATGCCACAAACCTACCATGCCTGGGGACCCATAAATATGGTGATTTTGGGGATGGCATCAATGGCACTTGCTGACAGCCGCCCAGTCCCAGCTTTGAGCAGCACCTTGAAAAACCAGCCCAAGGCATCTTTGTCTTTGCCGCCATCGTTCTTTTCCTGCAAGAACTTCTGGGAAGCCAATAGGACTATATATATATATATATTCTGGAGTTTCCTGCAGTCACAAGTCACAAAGTCTCAGAAATCATAGGAAAAAAACATAAGTCTCATAAATCATAGAGAATCCATTGTATAAACGGTTATAGAAAACAATAAAACTACATAGAAAATGATAGAAATGGACCCATGAGAAATGGACCCATGCACCCTGATCTTACCTAATCACCTAGTCCCATCGCCTCGATGTAGGTCACCACGGCGTTCACAAAGCTGATGACGAACATCACCAGCATCTTAGGACGCTTGTTCGCTCGCTGCATGTGGATTCTCGGGATCCCACCGTCCCGAAGAGAATCTCTGCCAGGAATGGAGAGGTTCCACGGATTGTGCTTTTTCCAAGACCGGAAGACCGGAAGTCTTGAAAGATTGTTTTAATATTAAAGATATTGATTATTTAACTAATTAGTTATATATTTATAATTATAATTATAATAGTCGTCATCATCATCATCATCATCATCATCATCATCATCATCACACCACCAATAAAACAACAATAAAAACATGAATCTTCTTCCCAAGTCTACTGTAGGTGCGGTTTCACTCCCAAGTTTGGGTGCATCATGCAACTCTCGGGAAAATTCGGGGCGAAAATCCCCATGGGATTCTCACGATGTTCCCATTTAGAAATCGCCAAAAAGCTGGGTGGTATACCTCCATTTTCAGACACACCCAAGAAATTGTTTCGTATCGTTGCGCTGGTATATCCTATTATATGCCATACATTGCCATACTGTCTCCCCATGAATTATAGACGTTCCATATAAATTCCCATTGCATCATACAAATCACTCCAACATTTGGGTCTTTGGCATCATTCCACGGGCCGAAAAGCCTGGCCGCTCACTTTTCGGCCCACCAGGGCCAAGTTTTCCCCTATGTAAAACCTATTTTTTCCGGGCTGGAACCCCCAGCCAGAAGATTAAGAAAAGATTAAGCCGCAAATCAGCCTCAAATCCATTGATGTCCCATTTCTTCTTGGCTGGGGTTGGCTGTTATTCAGCTCCAAAAGGGGGTCCCAACCCATAAAAACCAAGGGAAACAGTGCTCCAAGGCAGCATCGGTGGATGCTCCGAGCGAAAAGTCATCTGTACTGCCAAGGCCGTACTCCATACTAGAGCTGCAGCATGTGTTGCTATGGATGGCAGTATGTCGAATCAGAGATTTGGGAAGCCTGGTTGAAATTTGTGAACAAAATCATCCCACATGGCCCATGTCAATTCCATGAATGCGGACTCATCTGACTCAGGGTCCCCATTTCTAAGTCAATTTCAAAGTCAAAAACTTCGCATGGGGCATAGGAATGCTGCTTTTTTCGGCAGCCTTTTAAAAGTTGTCCTACGCCATCAGCAGTGGCAAGGATCATCCCTGATCGGCCACCACAGCAAGCCAACCACTCGACCAGTCTCTTTAAAGTCACACAGACCCAGCAGGAAGACTAAGCCGTTGCTCACGACGATCAGGGAGAAAATGGTGTGAAACTGTGCCAGCGTGGCAGGCATTAAATGGGCCCAGAAGGGCAAGCGACCGAAGTCCTTGGGCCCAAATTTGAAGTCGTGCGCCACCCGCACCTTCCATCGTTCGACCATACCGTCCACGTCCCGGTCGGATCTCGACTCGGGCTGTGGGGACACAGCCAGCAGTGAGCCCTGTGAAAGTCGACGGCTAATCCTGGCTCTGGGACCAATGGACCAAAATTGACCGTTTCTAATGGGCAAACCATTTTCTTGGAGGGATGTCATTTTGAGCCCTTCCCATATCTTAAGTCATCTAATTAAGAACTAATTAGATAGTTGACCATAGACCATCTAATGGATTATCGTTGATATTCCCAAACGTACCGTCTTCTTTGGGGCCAATGGGCTTTGCGGCTTTGCGCCATTATGTACTTGCACCAATTATATAAGTGGAACTGCACCACCAGTCCAGAAAAACTCATGTCCAACACTGTCCAACACTGTCCAACACTGTCCAAACATATACCCTCTGGTAAATTAACATAGACCCTGGCAGATGGGGGTTGGAAGACTAGTTTCCATTAAAAATTGGTGATTTTCAGGTTCTATGTTAATTTACCAGAGGGTACTTTACTTACTCAATTGTCTTATTACACTGCAGTAAATTAAGATCAAAATCCATGGAAAATTTCACCGCTGATCATGTTGGGAAAGCCATGGATTTCCATCTGTTGAAAATAAACCACCAGTCCACTCTCTTGATACAAATCCCATACTGTAATTTTCCATACTCTGAACTCAACATACTCTCCTCAATGTACTTTCACAAAATATGCACAGCAAACAGCACACTCAGCTATTTTACCCTTGAGCCAAAACATACGTACAACACAGTGGTTGTGTGACAATTATGTGGAGGTGTAAATTTCAACACCCCTCCTTCAACGCAGGTGCTAGCTTCGCTACACCTTTGTTGATTCTAACTTCTTTGCTCCAACAGCTTTCCCTAGACGATGCTCCTGACACATGCTCTTCATGTGTCTCTCACAAGTTTCGCGTCCTATGGGTTTCGTACATAGATCGGCTAGATTGTTCTTTGTACCGATCGGGCAGATCCGCAGGTGGTTCTCAGCCACACGTTCCTGGATCCATAGATAACGGGTCTGGACGTGTCTTAGCTTTCCGAGACCTCGCCTGCTCGCTGTACCGCGTGCAGCGCTACTGTCGCTGTAGATCTCTAATGCCCTTTCGGTTCCCCAATCTTGCATGAGCGCTTTGATGCTCAAACCAATTGCGGATGCTCGTACGAGTGCATAAAACTCGCTTTCTCCCGAGCTCAGAGCAATGGTCGATTGGAGATTCGATCCATGTTTGATGCAGTGTTGTCCCATCATGACAACGAATCCTGTTGTGCTTTTCCTCGTCAACAAACAACCCGCATGATCACTGTCAGTGTAGACTTTAATCACCTTGGGTGTCCTCTGAGGTTCGTAGGTGCACACGACCCTTGGCTTTCCGACCAGGTATCTACCTAATCGTTTCAAGTCCTTGACGTCTGCATCGTTTGGTGCTTTCATCTTTCTCGTCAGTGATTTCACTGTTTCTGCTATGTCTGCACGGTCTTGTGCTAGGAACTGTGCTCTCATCACTAGACTTCTGTATAGTGTGGTCTGTTCTGCTGTCACCGGTGGAAGACCTACCGATGCCAGCACTTCACTGCTCTTTTTCTTCTCCGACGGTGTCACCACACTCTTCGCATTTTCCAAGTTCAATTGTCTGATGATCATTTCTGCGTGTCTTGGATCAGCTTCGTATGTTACTTTTCCTGTTTCATGTTCGTAGGTCACAATTCGGTTCAAGACTGTCAGATGTGATCCTCCACCTTTTCCGATGAGTCCGTCACATCTGAACTCATATCTCTCTTGCAAAACCTTTTGCATGTATTCTTGTCCTGCCTTGTCACTCAGGACTAAAAAGTCGTCTCCATGTACTAGCAGCTTGATGTTCTTCTCCTTGTGCCAGAACACTGATGTCCAAGCTTTTCCACATTCGAAATTGTGTTTCTTCAACAACTCGCTGTAGTCTGACTGCCAGACATGACTGGCGTCTTGCGTGCCATACATGGTGCGCTGCAGTAATGCGCACATTCCTTCTTCTTCGTCACCTTGTGGCAGTGTGACGTATACCGTTCTTTGTGCCTTTCCATAGAAATGTGCACGTGATATGTCGTAAAGTGCCAGCTGCTCGTTACTGCCACTTGTGGCTAACATTGAGCATAGTAGCTTTACCGCCTCCAATGGCGGCATGTTCGAAAACAGCTGGTGTCCTGGGAGTGAACCATGTTTCTTCTTCACTTCCCGAACCACTAAACGTGAACGGTAGTTCTTCTTCGTTGAATCGCCTTTGTTGCGATCAATCCATTTCAACGTGATGGGTGCTTTTCCTGTAACTGCCCGACATTCGCTTATTGGTCGCTTGACGTAGACTTCCTGCTTCTTCACCCAAGCAAGTTCTTCTTGTCTCGCTTTCAGTACCTCCTCCGTTTCCAACTGGACTCCTGTGATCTCATCAAAGAAGATCTGTTCGTCACCTTTGTTTTCAAACTTCGGTACGTACTCATCTTCGTAGTCCTCAAGATGTGGATCGTCATCCGGGCTTGGTCCTGCATCTAATGCATTCACTTCTCGGTATTCACCATCTGCTTTCATTTGTTGCTTGATGGCCTTTAGCATTCCTTTCACCAGTTCTGGTGGGTATACCCGTGCCATTTTGGCACGTCCATTAACGAGATGGACATGTCTATGCCATTCTCCAGTTCCTTCATTGTTCGAGCAAACGCCCGACAGAATCTTAGCCAACTCCGGGCTATTTGTAACCCATCTGGTGTTTTTCCTGACATAAGATTCACCACTGGCGTCTCTAGCCACCATTTTCCATCTGCACATTGGTCCCTCAATTGTGAATGTCCCGGGTAGGTTCTGAACTTCCTTGACACATTCTTCATTCCAACTGGCTGCTGGTTTTGGATGTTCGTGTAGGAAGTACCTACCCCTCCTTGACTGTTGCTTGTAGTACTCGCATGCTTGCTTTAGCATCCTTCTGCCTTCTTCCAGCCTTTGTTGTCGAACAGCTGGATCAACTCTCCCTGTGTTTAGAGCTTGAAGCGGTGAGAACGCTTCACACGGCGGACTTCCAGTTACCAGGTACGGATCCTCCTCATCCAAGATCCTCTCCAGACTCTTCACATGATCTGGATTCAACAAGTTCCATCCAGTCTCCAAATCAACTGCGTATCCTGGCAGTAGTCCATAATTCCTGCACTTCTCTGTCAATCTGGGTGGTGAAACGATTTCACTCACATCATGTGCTCCAAGAGATTTCAAATCTTGCAATGAAACTTCCCAATCTTCGTCGGGTTCAATGCTAAAGTGAAACAACGACTGGACATCTCTAACGTGACTTGGCGACCAAAATTGATCATGACTCATATCTGCACCTGGGGCTGCGGATCCTGAAGCAGTCCCACTGGCTGAAACAGCCGGAGCGACCGTTTGTCCCTCGGAAGTTCCACTGGTTGAAACAACCAACGGCCCCTCCTGCTCCTGAGCATCGTAGTACAGATCATCGATGTTGTCTGGTATCCGTTTTCCTGACCTCAAGGTATCTGACCTTGTTCTCTTCTCACCTTCAACTCTTCCTTCGTCTGATCTTGTCCTTTTCGGTGATGTTGGTTGTTCAGGTTCTTCAGGTTGTCCAAGTGCTACTGATGATCTCACTTCACCTTCAGTGGGATCCGGCATTCCTGTGATCACTTGTTTTGCCTTTTTCTTTTCGGTACCTTCCTCTTTCCTTTTCTCGACGTCTGATAGACGTTTCCTTCCTTCTTCCGTTTGTAGCAACCTCTGTTCTAACCTGTATCTGCATGTTGCATTATGTGCAACTGCTGGCAATCCAACCATGATTGCCTCACAACCTCTGCAACCTGGTGTGTAGTCCATTGTACCGTCTTCCTTTTCCAAGTCCTTCTTTCGGACGTACAGATTCCTGGGACCTCCATCCCGTACACTCGGGGTTAATCTCTGTGTTGTCTCAGGCAACGTGATGTGTAACCTATGTTCCACATCTTCGGCACTCCTTGGGCGAAGCGCCCAGGGCGTACCTTTCAATTCTTTGAGTTCCGTTCGGTCCCATCTCTCTGATTCTGGTTTCCTGTGGACGGTATTGCCTCTAATCACACCTTGACTTGTCATCACCAACACATCGGCGTTCCTGCCGTGCGTTCCAACGTAGTGGCCACTCATGACCCTACTTGCTAGATCTCCTTTGTTTCTTTCGGATTCACCTTCCTTGGAAATCCTGTAGGAATCCAACGGTCTAAAATAGACCTTTTCGCCAAACGTCACCATAGGTCTGTTCCATTTTCTTCCAGTCAATCTTTGGTATGGGGTTTTCCCATCATCTTGAATACTGAATCTACTCAGGCAAAATGCCGCGTGTCTACTTAGCCATGTGAGTAATGGATGCGTATCTTCCAACTTTCCAAAGTGTTCCTCAAGTTCACTCAAAAGTGCTCTTGACTGTCGCTTCTCGTCCCTGATTGCGACTTCGACTGCACCATTGGCACTGTGGTCCCCAGTAGGTGCTTCTTGCAGGATTATCTCAATTCCTGCTGCTTTGGACTTCACTTCTCGTTTCAGAGCGACGATTGCTGGTTCTCCGTCACTTTTCAGAATCAACCTGTTGTACCCTGTTTCGTTCAAACAAGCCAACATGAAGTTGACTGAAAACAGGTCTGGTCCTTTCGTGGGTATTGTAGTCGCCCACGTCATCTTTGACTTGCTGTCTTTTACCTGCAAGTTCGTTGATTCTCCATCCTTCTCACCATAGTAGAAGTAGTCTATTGATACAACTGGGATTTCACTGTCCTCATCCCGTGAAACTGAGCTGTGCTTTGCGTACGTTGCCCGAGCTCTCATGCAATGGCCACACCACGATCTGTGAACTGCGTGGGCTGTGGCAAGATGTTCCTCTAATTTTATGAAAAACCGAGCCAGCTACACATTGGGAATTGTTAAAATATTTTTTTTTCATTTTTTATCGTTTTGGTTATCATTTTATTTATCATTTTTTCATTTATGTTTTCATTCATTTTTTTTTAATCATTTTATTTTTCATTTTTTTATCATTTTTTTATCATTTTATTTTTCATTTTTT